CTGCACGGCATCAGGAGACCGCGGAGGGCGAACCAGTCGGCGGGAGCTACGCTGAAGTCGGAGATCGCGAGGGCACAACCGTCCAGCTTGAAATCCTCCGAGCGAATGAGGGGATAGGAGGACAGGAAAGATGGAAGAACGGTCACTGGAGTCCGAGGACGGGGTACACTTGCGAGAGATGTTGTCGGCGTCTGTAGATGGCATAGAGCAGGACCAGTAAATCAGAGCTGCGCTGTAGTCGAAGCAGGGGCGGCGCCAGGGGGGGGGGGGCAAGGGGGGGCTGGAGCCCCCCCAAAATTCTCGCCTGCCCCCCCCTATGCCCACCCAAGTGCCCGGAAGCATATATTGAAAACCTAGTAGGAGCAGAGCTAGCAACCGACGGCTTGCCCCCCCGGAGGAACTCACTTTTCGTCGTTGCCCCCCCAGTAAAAACATCCTGGCGCCGCCCCTGCGTCGAAGGTCGTCGGCGACAGGAGATGACGCAGGGCGAGCCCAGTCGGCCAGAGCTACGATGACGCCGAAGGTCGCGAGCGCGCGGGCGCACAACCGGTCGGCACGAAATCCAGGGAGCGTCTCCCGCCTCTTTGGATTTGCTGTGTGCGCTTCGCCGTGTCGTAGGTGTTCTGTGGTGTCGTTGCCGTCTGAGAGCCCAGAGCACGTGTGTTGCGTAGCTCCTGTCGCCGTGGCGTCGGCGGCGTCTTCAAGCGGTGTGAAAAACCGCCGTGCCTTATCGCTGGAGATTAAGGAATGCGTCATAAGGGACATTGAGAGTGGCCTAAAGAAGGCGTCGGTGGCGGCGAAATACGGCGCTTCCGACACGACCGTGTCGACCATCTACAAAAACAAGGACAAACTGCGGCAGCAACTGCAGCAAGATTCGTCTTCCCTGTCACGGAAGAGAATACGTACGTAAAATACGAAGACGTGTACGCAGCGCTGTTCAGGTGGTTCCGCGAAGTTAGGGCTCAGAGCATCCCAGTAAGTGGCCCCATGCTCCAACAAGTGTCTCGGAGCTCTTTTAGGCCACGACGACTTCAATCCACTCAACGCGTGGATTCAGCGTTTCAAAGATCGCCATGGCATCAGCTGCAAAGTGGTGTGCGGAGAAAGCGGCGCTGTCGACGACGAGCCTATCGAAGTCTGGCTTCGCTTCAACTTGGAGAGTATGCTGTTGGAGAAATCGCTTCAGTGCTTAAGCTTTGTGGAAGACGAAATTGTTCGCAGCGCTGTTCGCAAGCATCGCCAGACGAAAATGACGGCGCTCCTCCGCTGATGCCGTAATTGAAAACTTTGTTTCCGTGTGTGTTGAATGTGTCTGCGAGTGAAAAGTGTAGTAAATTGCTTTTGAAAAATGGGTTGCCCTTTTGACATAGGCAAAGGCCGAAAAAAGCATGCTTTGGTTATAACGCGGTACCGCTTATAGAGCGGATTTTTACAACTCCCGCGACTTACGTTATAAGCGGTCTACACTGTAGTGGATATGAAGCTGTCCAAAAAGACCTAATTTAATGTGCAGCACTCTGGCTGAACGATGAACTAATGGCTGCTATCTGCAACCGAAATTGACCAACTGCCGTGGTAGGATCAAGCAGAAACACTTTTTTTTTAGTGTCCATGATACGCAAAAGCTCCTGTTTACACGTAGAGGAAATGTATGTGCAAGGCAAACTGGAGACTGCACACTAGTGGGCCTCGCTAAGTGTAAAAAACCAGCACAGTGCACGCTCCGTGCGTTGCTCTTGCCTTAAAGACAATTTGACCGGAAGAAAAACAGCCATGAACATGCAGCCTAAGCAGAGCATTGCTTGAAACTTACTTGTGTGTAAATATACCCTAAATCTAGCGTTAACTTTTTTCCATAAAGTTTTGACTACAGAATGAGCACACTCAAAAAATAAAAAGTATGAAAGTCAATATACTGGTGTGCAATACCAAAAACAATAAAAAATTGAGGATGATCGTGAACATAAAAGCAAGAAATGCCAAAGCGTGAATCGGAGTTAAGAAAATATGGTGTGTTGCTTGTTGACATATGATACAGAAGAAAAAGAAAACCGTACCCACTGCACTCCACATCCAATATTAGCCATCCAGAGGTGCAACTAGAGGGGGGGGGGGGGGGGCTGAGGGGGTTCTGGGACCCTGGGAAATTTCTAATTTTTCAGGCGACACTAAAGTATTTACACTACATCACAATGACCACCAGTTGCCATGGTTTGCCATTCTACACAAAAACCTCCCCGAAAAAAAAAAAATTCCTGGGTACGGACATGTAGCCATCTAACCAACAACCTGTTACTTATTTTGTGACAGCTTGGAATAGTTGAAATCCAAATGAAGGCATATCAATACAGCTGAAAGTAAATCAACACACGATCTGCGAGTGCCTGAGGCCACATTCACTTTTTCTTATACGTGACACCTAACACTTCGGTACTAAAAACATCTTCCACTGCTCAAGCGGTGAGGTAAAATTCAAAAGCCCTATATTTTGTCTTGGATGCTTTAAAGAGGAGCTCGGTGAAAAAAAAAAAGGGTTTCAGGTGAAACAGCATTAAGCACGTTAAAGGGGCACTAAAGAGAAACGGTGACTTGGTTCAAACTGACAAACTGCACTCTCAGAACTCTAATGCTATATGTTTAACTATCATATGTTCGTTATTAGTGGAGAAAACTTAAGGTTGAAAATTCATTAACAAATTTCATGCCAAAGTTTCAGTGTGTGACATCGAAAATTTTAATATATATATATATATGTATATTTTTATTTTTGCAATATTGACTGGATGAAATTTTTCTAAAGTTTATATGCTAGATTCATGGCCCCCACAGGTGACAGCGTATTTATTTTCATTGATTACACACTACGTAAGACCCTATAGACACCTTCAAAATTTATGACGTCACTGTGTTTGGTGTAGAAATCTCAAGGTGGTATCTCCTATCATTTTTTTTTGTACATTTTCTTACTAACCAAGCACCATATAACGGTTAGAGTATTACAATTTTATGAAATTGTAATTTACTAATACACTTATATTTTTTTTCTTTTTGCTGTCTCTGAAATTGTTCTCGCTCACTTTCCTTAACACACCTAGGTTCTTTGTATTATTTCGGCAGTTGTAAAATTGCCACAAAGTGAACAACATGAAATGTACACTGTAAGAATGCTTTTTGCAGAGAGCTTAGAGGAAATGAACAAACCTAGATTAATATGTATTATATTAAAATGTTTTTATACTGCCTCCGAAAGGCACGCAGATGCAAGAGTTAACAGTGTGCGCCTTGTGAAGCATGAATTATGGTTAGCCTGTTGGCCCAAAGAGGCTTTCCTAAAAATAAGCATGACACCTGTAGAAACATCTCAATTAGAAACACCGCAATTTTTCTTTCTCAAGTCCGTTGAACATAAGCTGCTTGTTTTATGAGACATGTTCAATGCACATTTATCGGCCAGTCTTCATGAAAATGGCTGATAGTCGGCCAAGTTACTTCTATTAGTACTCATGCTAGCATGCTTGCTGGTTGTACAGCAACTGCCCTAAAAACCTAGTGGTGCCTGGTTTAGTGCTTTAAGCTTTCTTTTTCAAAAACTTTACACCACCTCCAGGAGGATGGAAACTTTTCTTTGCATCAAGAAAAATCATTTTCAAAGAAATGAATGTTTGCTTCTTAATTGTGAAAATGACTTTTGTAAGGACTAGTAATGCTTGTATTATCAAGTAAGCTTACAACGAATACCCGACATGTCCAATTCAGTTTGAATGAAGCGATATCCTACTTTTCGAAAGAAGCACGACTCTTTTCTTGCTGATTTAGCACGTTTGAAACCCTACACCTGCCCATATAGCACACGAGCCACTGGAAAGTGACCCAAAAGAAGTGTTACAAACTAGGCCCATAAGAACAGTTTCTGGAGATTGGAAGATCCCTTACACACATAGTACTAATTATGGTCGACAATTTATAAGCTACTTACTGCCACTAACATTAAATAGTTGCCTACAATAAAACATTCCTACTGTTCCTTTTGTTCACTATGTTCACTATTTTGTTCACTATGTCAGGATAATGGTGCTGTCATGTTCCTTAGACACTCTTCTCACGCGCTCAGTAACTGCAATGCCAAAAAAATTCGAAAATAATTTTTAATTTCAAAAATCGCAATACCGAAACCCAACCGAGTGTGCTTATACGTGTGACGTAATGATTTGCCTGACGCTGCCGGAACCTGACTGATTGCACAATCCCCACCAGATGACACTACTTGCCCATGCTGTCCGTGGTGATTGGCTAAAGCGTTTACGCTGTTATGGTGAATATATGGCGAATCGTGTGTGGCTCACAACGCAACACCACTTGGTACTTATCGCACGCCCACCAACACGAAAAAGGAAATCGCACGCTAAACCAAGTGAGTGCCTGCCAAACACACACAATTCATAGTAGACAAGCAGACTGCAGTGACACATCAGTTCATCACTTCCACCAAGCAAAACTCAACGTCACACTCACAATGTTGCCATAAATTCTGGCAAGTGAGGTGAGCGTTTCGAGGCAAGCTATAAAATTCATTTGAAAAGAATATGCAAAATTCTCAAGCCTGCAATTTGGCATGAATGGCGCAAACGTGCAAACGTACCCAGTGAATTTGATTGGGATCCACTGACCTCGAAAAATCGCCAGAGTTGGCCTTTTATTGACTTTTCGCTTCTTTAATGTTAAAATAAAATTTGAATTGAATTGAACTGTATTTGGGTAAATAAAAATTCCATACTCATCTTGAAAAGCAATGTTTTCAATTTCTTTGATTACCTGCGAATACTAGAACATTGACAGTGCTACCTGAAAGCCAGAAGAATTTGAATTGGAAGAAAAAAAAGACAGAAAGAACACCATCTGCCCTTTTGGTGCGCACGATGGCTTACTGAATTGTAATGACATAGATATGCAGGTCAGAACTTTAGGAAGAGTATGTTTTACAAGAAATAAGTCTGTGGTACACATCCTCAGCAACATTGTATTTACTGCCAACAGTTTTTAACAAGAGTATGTGACAGACTTCTAAACGCTAACTAAAAGCAGAAACATGTGGTCAACTGACAGCCTTAAGTTCTCTAATTCGATTTTGCTGTCTGACCACGATTTACAATGTGCATAAGGAAATAATAGAGCAAGGCCAACAGCTTTTCTGCAAGCGACAACAAGAATAGAAGGTTGATAAACAGCTACTGCAGTAATGAAAGACCTACAAGGACAACAATATGCAGCATGCCTTACATGGGAACTCTTCTGCAAACATTTGCTGCTACTGAGACAGAGGCACAGTGACAATAAGATTTGAGAACTAGCTATGCAACTACAAGAAGCTGCTATTGACAAACACCAGAATCACAATTGAATGTCCTTCACATACTAACAATGCTAGCATTTCAGAGCTCTATGCAGCAACATTCTGCTGAAGGAAGTAGTAGCATGACTGTAGAGCACTTTATTCTAGCAAGACAGAAAAATTGGGCACTAGGAAAGCTGTACTATTAAAAAAAAGTACAGTTTGCTCAAAGCAATTTTACCCTTGTTGCACTCAAGTAAACATGAACATTACAGAAGATAAATGAGCAAGTAGGTTTCATGTATAAACATGTTTGAATTACATGTAGCATAACAGGTTCATTAAGAAGTGAACCCTGAAAAAAACTGATCTATGAACATACTAACATCATCTTATTCTTGTCAGGCTAGTCTACAAACAGCTCAGCAACAACATAAAGTGTGAAAGTGAACTTCACTTAGCAGCAGCTTCCCTTTCCAGTTATTTTCTTTCACATATGAACAATCAAACATAACTGCATAATTGGTAGAATGGTTTTATAATTACATAGCACACACAGAACAAGAAGTTTGTTAAACAAATGTATTTGGATAAAGAAAAAGGGGCAAAAGGAGCTTGCAGAATAACCATCTGGATAACTTAAGAAAAAAAATCGCCGTTATCCTGCTCAAGTTGAACACAATGTCGGGCAAAGATACAAAATTCTTTCCTCCAACTTCCGTAATGTACTTGCACAATAGCCAACACCTCTTAAGACCGGTAATATGCTTGGAATCGGATAGCTCTCTGTAGCTGCCCTGCCTTGCACTAAGAGTATACTACCAACAACATTGTCTACATGAACTGCATCTGCCTTATTTCAGCATGAGTGCTTGCTAAACAAGCATATTATCCAATATTATCCATAATGTTTTTTAGGAACTGCCTGCCCTGTGTTCTGAAAGTTGCAGCAGCAAGAGCCACTAGTGGCCTAATGTAGCAGAAACGAAAGGATGACAAAAGGGTATGGCAGCCCATTTTCTGTTAATGTTCCAGACACTTTGTTAACAAGGTGCTGCAACTCTACTTACGTAAAAGGCACCTGTTGTATACTACTGGGACACTTCTGTAAAATATAACAAAGGTGCGGAATTCTGTTTTGCTATATGAATGAAGAAACTTCATACTTCACAAGGACTAGAGCAAGTGAAAACTGGGTTTACTAAGGCAACATAAAAGAAGGGTTGTTATAATGATGCGAAACCTTTGATGCCAACAATGTAACAGACGATGTTTTATTAGGCAAGGCATTTCAAAGCTAGTTTCAGCACTTTGTATCACCAAGAAGAAATGATTGTGTACAGTTGTGAAGGAACACTTAGTACACACTCGAACCTGGCAATAATGATTTTGCTTAGGTGACATACTCATGGCCTGTGAGAATGTAGCTCAAAGTTAGGGCTGTCACTCTGAAAGAGAATGCTATCTTCCCACTAAAAGGAGGAACTTAGTAATCCGAAACCACACAATTTATACATGCACATGCCTGAATATGACCAAAAGCCTGTAGGTAAAAAGCACCTGAAGCAAGGAGTGCTAAAAAGTGCTGAATGTGAAGCAGCCACCAGTTTCGATATCATTATAGTAGCATACAGGCATTAGAACTAAGGGGCGAAAATGCCCTTACAAATTGTCAGGTTCTACATTCATTGCACTATTTTGCCATCCTGCACTTCTGATGCTTAAGTTTGCATGTGCTCAGCAGTAAAGTATTTTGCACAAGTATTTCCTTTAAATTAGACAATCGAAATTGCTGAACTGTTAATAAAGGACATATTTGAATGAAAATAGCAGTGCAAAATTTTGCAAACAAACATATACAGAACTGTGTGCACTTTCCAGAAGAAAACTTAGACACACAAGAAGAACAAGTGGCAATCCTCGTCAATATCATACCGAACTTTGGCTTTAATATGAATAAACAACAGGAATGTAATGACACAAAAGTACTTAGCTTTAAGCATCACAACTAGCCTCAATACCTCTGCAAAAGTAGCATCACAACAAATAAATAACTTTGAAACAAGAACAGTTATCAAGAACTGTACTTTGTTCCAGAGGGAAGTTCCATTCAACTCGCAAATAAATATGTTCGAGTACATTTATATGAAAACCACTTTTCTTTAATTATTGCCAACATCAAAAAGTGGTAACGCTGTTAATAACTGCAATGTTGCAGCGCCTTCTAAAATTATCTGTCAACACTTCTGATATGTCACATTTCCCACATCTCCATGCTATATTGTGATGACACTGTTTCCAATATCTGGGATTGCTTTTCATCGTAGTGAATATCTTTCAGAGGGGCTCAGCCCTCAGCATTTGGTGTACCAAATGTTCAGACCTAACAGTATGTGAAGTACCTCATCAAAAACTGCTTGAAACTGTATGTGGCAAATAAACTACTTTTCCTTATAACACTGTTTCGATCTGAATGTCCCCTTTAGGTGGCAACTGGCAGTGGCGATGGGTACACAAGCAAACTGGTTTACTCAGAATACGATGGCTATACTGAAAAGGCAAAGTGCATGAAACTGACATCAGAGAGCAGCACTCTCATGTTCAGCATTCATGCACTACATTCTTATGTTCCGCCACTGCAGCCCCTCACATTGGAATGGCAATTGAGATACTATATTTGCTCATAATGATATACACTAACTTTTTATTATGCTATATTACTCTGATTTGCTTGAGGTTCAACATACTGAAGTTTGACTTCATAACTTGTCAATGTGACAGCCAGTGCGTCAGGACAGTTTCAATCGCGAATATAAACCGTGCAGCACAGACAACGGAACATTACGTTCAAAACAACTTCCAAAATTACAACACAGTTAAATATTTACCAACACTATTAAAAAAAAGGCTTCATACACATACAGGTACACAATGTCTTGTGAAAGTAGTTAAAATGGAAGTCTTATGAGCTCACACCCTTTATGAAAAGAAAAATCCCTCAAAATCACCATAAAAGGTTGGTTTGTCAAAGCAGATGTCTGGACTCAAGATAGAATACATAGTCATAGGAAGAACTTTTTTTTTTCTCCCTTGTCTACCATAATACAAAAAAGAGGTGGCAATGGTGAGAAACTACCTTTCGGCAATAAAGTTCTTACTGCCCACAAGACGTGCAAACTTCCTAGAAGACAAATCAGGGGAATTGAATAGAAAATTCTAAAAAAAAAGAAAGATGAAGCAATTACTGCTTCAAGTGCTTACCATAAATAAAGTAATGACATCCTCTTTTTTCGTGCAAGAATAATATCACAACATCTGTAGCAAAATCACCTTTATCTGTATTGATTATCTATATATATTTTTGAATTTAAATTTGTAACTTGCATACGTAAAGATATATTAAAGCAATGTGGAAGGATAATGCACGTCTTAGGAATTAAGAGGTGGACACAGCAAAAAAGAGCAAAATTAGCTGGCTGCCACCAGATGAGGACATGCAGCTGGGTAAGCTGGAGTGAGGCGAGCTGCATAGAGGTGACACAGCGCGGTGTCCGTCGACCACTTGGAACAAGCAATGCTTCACTTGAGCTCAAGTGCTCCTTCTTCTTCAAGCTTGCAGATGAACTTGGTAACTCTGTATTGGGAAGTGGTCTGAACCAACAGCATTTTGTCAGTGATCATTTCTACTCAGCCTGTTCAACTGTTTGATGTGAAAATACAGCCAAATCTAGATATGACAAACACTCCCAAAATGTTTCTTAATAATATCGAAAAAAAAATGCTAATAACTAATATAGGCTACAAAAATGATTTTTTCATGTTAGTTCTCACTTCCAATCAATGTGTTTTAATGATTAATGTATATCAATAATTATTCACTCGTAAAACAGGCGCACTCACATAACAGGCACACCTCATTTTGGTCGAGAGACATCAGGTTTTTTTATTTCCGTGCATTATAGGCACACCCCAAACTTGGCCGTGATCAGTAGTTCTGAACAATATTTAATACAGTTCAGAACTACTAGTCATATTAATACAACTAATAATAATAATTTATAATTTATTAATACTATTATCTGGAGTTTTACATCCCAAACCACTACAGTATAATCATGATAGACATCATAAAAGAGGGCTCCACAAATTTCAACCCTGTTTTAAGGAAGATGAGAGTCGAAAATCCCAAGTTTTTTTACAAAATTACACATTTTGCTTCATTACTTACTTTCACGTGTTTAGTTTCTCTACTTTCACGACAAAAAAATAGTTATAGTGTGCTCACTTCATGCCTAACTACAGATATGTGCACAGTCAGCCACAAAATAATAACGACCACGTCAGTGTGTGGTTCATTTAATGAAAGCTCGTTGACTGAGCCCTTGGTAACTTGAAAAATCGGATAATTTGGACAAGTTCTCCAGTCCCAACAAGCATATGTATTGCTATTTGGCATCAAACTCTTGTTAATTTGGTCATACGTGGCCAAAACCCGGTCAATACGGATAATCTTCAAAGTGTACCGAGCGTGAAGCAAAGCAAATATGTGACACAAAAGAGTGAAAACGGCGTCCACCAACAACCGACATCAGACAGTGCAGTCTGCACTGCCATCATAAGCATATTGCGCAGCATAGAGTACGACCCGAGGGCTAGAAGGCTTATTAGTGTTTACCACTACGTGTGATTCAGCGTTGGCTGCGGGCCCTCAAAAGAGCGCAGTTGCCCTCCAAAAATCACGTTGACAAATGTGGATAGCGATCACAATCGCATCGTGGACGGCATCCCCAATTTTTTAATTTGTTTCCTTGGTGAACAATCAAGCAATAGCTTGAATAATGTTGGGCACAAGTAAAAGTCACTGTTGCGCACAAGCCGTTTTCTCTACGTGTTCGCTCAGGAATGCATGAGAGTCTTTGCAACAACTGCAATTCCCATGCAGCAGAACTATTTAGAAAAACCTCTTCACTTGAATCACTCTTTAATGCTGTAAACTGAACAGCTGTTCTTATTCCTTAAAACAAATGAATATTCAACAACTTTAAATGTGCTTAAATAGCAAAAAGGGACTCCTATTTTCACATTGAACATCAAATATATGCACAAACCTAAAGTGGCATGCAGCACTTATTCAAACATGGTTAGAAAACATCGCTTATCTGCAGTCGTGGCTCTTGAGAATACGTGAACTAAACATTAAAGCGCAGCAGGCGGCTTGGAAGTTGCAATTATTTCTTGAAGTCCACTAAAAATCATTCCCTCTCCTCTCAACAAATGATGCCATAAACCCAAAGTATACGGCTATGGGGGTGATTTGAGCATCATGAACTGCATAGTTACCATTGCCCCAGCGATATGCTGCCATCTGCCTGCACTCGTGATCACATCAAAAGCAAGTTGCGCGATTGACGAAAAAGAAGTGCTCAAGGTCATGATACCTGCTGATGAGCGGACGCATTTTTTTTTGCCTCCCTTGTAACTCATCCCCCTGCATAGGTTTTAGTGCACTCGTTGGTACGAGAGGAAAGAGAAAGTGCTTAAAGCGAGCAACAAATCCCTGTAACTCTGCTCATACTTGACAGATTCTAAACAATTTTGCAGCAGTACATTCATCAGGCAATAAACTGTTTTAATATGACCCTTTGACGATTATTTGAAAAAATGTTGCAGCACCCCTTTAATAAAAAAAGACAAACACTTCACAAAATGTAAAAAAATATTACCTGACGAGCCATGTCTACATATGCCAGGAGCTTCTTGACTCCTATCCAGATCCTGGCAAAGACAAAAAAAAAAAATCCCAATGTCAACAAAATTCAGCCTAAACCCAAAGCCACAAACTTTTCAGCAAATTTGGAAAATTTGGCCGGTGTGACTACAATGCAGTGAGTTACCCTTTAAAAATGTGGTCAATATGAGCTGTACTGCCAATCAAACGGTTGCATACTTCGCTGTGCTTAATGCATCATCGAATTCAGTGCAACAAACTCGAAATTACCGAGACAGTGCTAACAGCAGACAGCTAGCCTTATGCCTAATACCACTGTCTGGTGCCCACTTGATAATCTTCAAGCAGAGGAAAAAAAAAAAAGAGTTCCACTAGCCTGCGTCCTCCCAGATGCTTGGCAATCTGGTCAAGCTCGGCCTTTGAGAAGCAGTCAACATCCTCAAGTACAGCCAGGACATGCTGGGGCAGGGACAGGTTTGGCACCCGCAGAATAGCTGTGAATGAAGGGCTGAGACCCATCTCATCCAGCACTCCCTTCAGGCTGCTCGTGCAAAGGACGAGCAGCTTGCGGCCCTGCAATGGGGACAGACCACACTTGCACCTCCACAGTGAGTGCTTTGCAGTGCAGGCCGAGTTTTCTAAGAAATCTGCGCAACAGAACTTCATGTCTATGTTGTAAGCTACAAACATCTTTACAACATTTATATCTGTTATGTACATAGATAATACATAGTGCAGCAAAAACTGAACAATTAAAAGATACTGCAGCACCAATTCAAAGAAAGTGTAATATGCTCAAAACCATAGGTGGAGAGTACGGGACTGGGGGACCCAAGCCCTCTCCGGGCTGCTTCATGGGGGGCAGAACACCCTCTGACACGGGCGCGGGATAATATTTTTAGAGCTTGGCTTAGGTTCTTAATCACCGCCAACGGAGTGTCGGCCATCCTTCCTATCTTGCAGCTATTTCAAAGAGGACTATATATGTATGGTCCTTTTCCTTTCAAGCTTTTAAGATTCGAATCATGGGGCAGTGACAAGTAGGGAGTCTGGTGCCATGGTCGCATTGAGAACGAAATCGCAGGATTGCAGCAGTTACATGGCTCTTGTGCGAAATAAATAAGGAATGTATGCGTACGTATCAAGAAAATGAATTACCTTCTCTTGTTATATATGTATAAAGAGAGCGAAGGAAAAGTGCGGAAGAGCAAGCCGGGCGCCCCGACGCCTCAGAGAATATAAAAATGACTATGTTCATAACATCATGTCTGCTCCGAACTTGTCATAGATCTTTTACATATAATGTTTACAGCTTAAATGATCATGAACCACCCCTTGTGCTTGGTGAAAAAACACATCCTATGGAAAGCAGGCACTGTTAAAACACCAGGCCTGCGTGGTAGGCACAGCACAATCACAGCGAAAGCTAGAAGAGCAGCCTTTCAGAGCCTTTTCAAACACTCATTGGGTAACTACTGCAAGCACACTTGCTTGGTACCCACTAAGGCAATGTTAATGAACTTTTGGATAGTAGGCCGGCATTCGCTATGCAATTTTTTGTCATTATTCTGAGAAGCATGGTATCCGCTAAACACTTGCAAGGAATTTTGTGCCAATTGTCCATGCAGTGGCCGACGACGATGAGGAATTATGGCTGAAGTGGGTGTGCGCCACAGTTAATAGGGGAACAAGAACAAGCTTTTGTGATGATTTGGAGCATTAGATGGCCCACTCATAACACTACTTTCATTGTGCGAGGACTGGTTGTTCTTTCGCTGCTGTAGAACGCTTTATAAGTCGTATTAACGCGATTGCTTTCCCGACATCAAGCCTGCCTAAGGCAAGTTTGACCACAAGTCACAAGCACCGGTGCAGCTCAGTGGTAGAATACTAGGCTGGCACCCAGCGAACCTGGGTTCGAGCCCCACTGTGCTGTTGGTGCTAGGTCATGACTGCCTAAGGCAAGTTTGAAACAAGTTATAAGCACTGGCATGATTCAGTGGTAGAATATGGTGGCACGCAGTGGACCCAGGTTCAAGCCCCACTGTGTCATTGGTGCAAAGTTGTTTTTTTTTTTTTTTTCAAATTTTGCACAATGTGGTTACGAACACCGGCAGCAACGGCAGCGGACAACAACTGCGTGTGACCCGAAAAGTGATCTCATAACAGCTTTCGCTGTAAAACAGCTAAGCCATATATTATAGTCCTGTGCAGCACGAATTCGCAATTTCGAGCGGAGCACGAAATTGCGATTGCTCAGGTGCCCTGTTTTAATATGGAGGCCTCTGCTTGGGAGCTGCCGGCACCTGCTCCTTGTTGTCAAACAGCAGACAGCAGGCCATTAGCCAATTTCTGACAAATCATGAGCAGCGTTTAGATCAGATGCAGTTCTTGCCATTGGGTGCCGCCATGTGCCAGCATCATTTTCTGTAGTCTGGCAACATTACACGAGAGTACATTACACACTAACACATAGGAATCGCAATGGGAGAAAGCAATTGCATTATAATGCGTGCTCAGGGTCTGGACTTGTAGTGACGTAACTTCTTTCCCCCCGTACGACCGCCCCCCTGTGCGAATTCCAGCGTTCTTGTCGGGACGAGAGAAAACTTAGTGTGTGATAAGTTTTCGTAACTCTGCTCATGCTGGACTAATTCCAAAATTTTTGAACCTATCGATTCGTGAGACAAACTTTGAGAGTGAGGTCGTTCGAGGACTACATCAAAAAAGTTTTTTAGCATTCCTTTAAAAAATTCTCTACTTAAGTTTAAAGTCCACAGTTACAGACTAACTTCCAGAAACATTCAATATATGGCCACAGCTCTAGCGAACACTAGACAAAGCAACTTTTTTAACATAAACAAAACGACTTCACCAGCAGCAAATAATACCTTTGGAGGATCCCTCTGCAGAAGAACCAGAAGTGCTTGCAGCACCAGGTTTGAATATCTTGGTCCAATGGGGCCGTAATCTGTCAATGCAAATATCCCACCAAGGGAAGTTTAGGGATTCAAAACAATGAAATAGATTTTCTTGGAACAATCTAGTGAAAGAAAGGTGCCTGCATTTTTAAGATAGCTATACGAATAGTAGCTTACCCAATAAGCGTTCAATGTTGTCTACCAATATGCAGCTTTGCTGAGACTTGTAGGCATCATCAAACACCTGAAAAAAAAAAACATTTTCACCTTGTCAATAGACGAGTAGTATTAAGGTTTGCAAAGTGCCATTCTATTTCAGTTTCTGTCAACCAGGGATGATTTACACAAATGTTTAACAGCAAAATTATTTTTGCTACAGTATAATTAGAAGCAAACAATGGAACTTTCTGTAAAAACAGCAGAACAAGGAGCAGACAGCGTTTCCACAGTTTTAACATATGGTTTAGTAGCGCAAATTCGACGGGCCACATAGGACAAGAAGAAACACGACGCTCGCTACAGTCACAACTAATTTTATTTCAGAAGCAGCACTTCATATACATAACTCAAATTCCTAGTAACAGAGAAAAAAACTACGAACATTGAATCATTGTTAAAAAACCTATTGTGCACACTCAAGTGATAGTGCACGACAGATAAGCTTAGACATCTTTAGATGATATATAACAAATGACAGCACTGGGTATCATTAAGAACATTGGCGTGGGTTTAAACGTGCCTGAAACAGAATTGAAATAAAAATAAGGAAAGAAGACCCGTGCAAATACGAACTTCAAGCAATAGTATACGGCAGTTATGTGTAGACACTTTTAGATAAAACAAGAAATAACAAAGCAGTTTATTATAAAACCAAAAACCTTTGGCATGAATTTACAGGTGCATGAAACAGAATTGAAAAAACATGAAGGACAATATGACACAAGCAAACACTAACTTCAATATTAGTCCTTCGAAGAAGCTGGCTTCTCGGTTACTTAACGAAACTGATGACTGACTAATGCAGCTATCTTTTCTTTTATTTATAGAGGAAGACTTCGACCATTTCTCTGGTTAGCTGGTTCCCATGACGGAAGACTACAATTGTATCACCGAACAGTGGCAAGCAGCCACACTGAGAACAGCATGCCTTTATGTGAGAATGGATATTAGTTGCCGATGATCGTTTATGTTCTTAAAGTCGGGTGTACAAACAACGTCCCGTCTGGCCGATGTATATCTTTCCACATGATAGCGGCAAGCAATACACAACCACCAGGATACATTTAACAAACTTTGTTGTGTGATTTATTGTACAACCATCAGCAACATTTTTTTCTGCTATGGAAACTTTTCGGTCCAGTTTGGAACATATTTTATTAAGCTTGTTTGGTGTTGAAAAAACTACTAGACCAAATCAATTACAGTTGAAACCCGCAATAACGAAACCCCGCGAGTACGAAATCCCTGCAGCAATGAAATATTTCCGGATCCCTGGCGAACGTACATAGAAGCTTATGTATTACGTATCTCGCGGCAACGAAATGTTTTTGGACAGCGATCCCGCATTAACAAATTTTCTACCACGGTGCAGGCCTTAGTTTACCCTCCCGCCAAAGGTTAACTGTAGAAAATATGCTCGTATGCGTGTTATGTGCACTCAAAATTTGTAAACGTCTGCTTTTGCCGCGCTAGCGTGGGTACCGCCATTTTTGTTTACTTAAATCGGCGATGGGGTCTGTGTCTGGCAACAAGCCTGGCCACACTGCAGCAGGCGATGGCAAATGATCATGCTGGAGTACAGATGGCCCCGTCGGACGAGCTCAACAGGCCGAAGGAACACCAACAGTTGGAATCAATCAAAACGACGAAGAGAAGACTGGAACTGGTGGCGAAATCGAAATGAAGTTACAATTGGCGCCTGAGAAAAGCTTGACGTGGAGAAATTCACGCGGAGAAACCCAACCCGCAGGTTGTTTTGGATGCGCTGGACACCCTTCGCTCCTTCGGCGCACATGACGACGACGTAGCAATGAACCACTTTTTCCAGTGCGAAGGGAGAGCTTTGAAGTTGTTGCAAGGGTTGGCAAAGTAAGTTGACTGACTTCTGGCAAGAAATTTTCGTTCTGCTGACCATATCACTGTTTTTATGTCTCATACTCGTGGCAACGAAATTCTCGCGAAAACGAAATTTTTTGGTTTTCCCGGCGATTTTGTTAATGCGAGTTTCGACTGTACCTACGTTTTTTAAGTTTATGGGCAATCTTGAGCGCATGAGAAACTGACACTATCTTTTTTTCTGTTTTCATTACTTGTCATTGTTTTCAGAAAGTTGTTGCGTACGTGACCAATCAATTTGTTGGCTGACCTACACAGCATGCGTCTTTCGTACCCAGCATTTTTTAGCCTGATAATTTATTGGTAGAAGCTTTCGTTCATTTTTTCTGGACATGACTGTTACTGCTGCTCTCAAATATTTTTTGACAATGATTCAAAGTATGTACTTCTTCTCTGTGTCGCTAGGGATTTGGGTTATATATATGAAGTGCTGTTTCTGAAATAAAATTGGTTGCCAGTGTAGCGAATGTCGTGTTTCTTCTTGTCTTATGTGCCCCGTCGAATTCACGCTACTACACCATATGTTAAAATGACATCTTGCCAACTAACCCAGCTCTCAGGTCTACTGAGTTTCCACAGTTGTCTATCGCCTCTTCACTCAATGTAACAATGCCGGTTGGCAGCATGGCTTCACTGCAGCAAGTTGTGCATTTCGTGCAGGCACAGCCATAAGTGACATGAACAGGCCAGCAAAATGACACACAGTGAACCGACGTAACACAGTTAAACAATACCCATGCCACAGGGGCACAAGAAATGACATTCAGTAGTTAAGGCACTAAGTTCCTAGATGACATTTAATTTTTTTAAGTGGAGCTAGACCACGTCTATATTTAATGGCACTTTACCATGTGATGTCAAAAACAGTGACGATTATAACGAACAATTTTCTGGCAACAATAAAATATAAACCCGTATTTTTACACCTCCAACCAGCATTCAGGGATAGTAATATGCATAAGGATACTCTGGTGCCATTAGCTTGGGTTCGTTCCTGTTTTTTAAAGAATTGCAAATGATCACAGCAACTTTGGTCATTGGAAGTTGAACCTGAAGCCTAGAAATCCCACGCAGTGCCTGTCATCCAGAAGCCGTTGCAATTCTACAGTGTATTTCACTATAGTGCAACTGGGAAATAATATGCCATATCTGAATAAATGTCAAACGCCTTGTATAAAAAATATTTTTGACATGGTACATGACATTTCAAATGTTTTACGTGTACTGCAGTGAGCAAGCTTTGGTGTTGAGAGTAAGCATTTCTTAGTCAAACAGGTTCTAGCTAAGGCATTAGGTGACTAATAGCATTAAGGCAGATGCCATTTGATTTGCCTGAGTGGCACCAAGCCAACGGCATTAAATCTTAAAACATTAGGAACTTAATGCGATTTTATAGGCCTATATGGCAGAGGTACCAAGCTGTGGAGTTCGTTAATAGGGCATTACCGAGAGCATCATTATCTCCACAGCAAAATTGCAGTACACATCGCAACGTTCCTTTCCAGGCTACGAACGACACGTGGGTGTCACTAGACACCAATATCACACACGCAGCGAGAAATGTTGCTCATGTCTGCAAGATGCTGATGCTGCGGTCACTGCAGTCAGCAAAGCTGGCGTTGAGAATAAGGCAGTCACTGCTCGTTGTGGTTGCCTAAATCTCCTCCTAGACCCTGCGCAACATGGCCACTCAAATGAGCCATGCCACACAGCCTTCACGGCGTGATTCACCTGGATAGCCTAATGTGCCTGATGAGCTCGAGCAGGCAGACAAAACTGTTTCTCTCGTTTTACAACCCGATCAGCTGCAGCACGGCAAAGAACTGCCGGTAGCTGTGGTAACTCTCCCAATTTTCCAGAACCAGCATGAAGTTCAAAGGTAAACACTCAGCAGAAGCCTGCCTGGCCACAATGGCTGAGCTTGTGATGGAGGACGCTGAAAAGCGGGCGCTCTCTGATTGATTGATATGAGAGGTTTAACGTCCCAAAACCACTATATGATTATGAGAGGCGCCATAGTGGAGGGCTCCGAAAATTTCGACCACCTGGAGTTCTTTAACGTGCACCCAAATCTGAGCACAAGGGCCTAGTACATTTTTGCCTCCATTAGAAATGCAGCCGCCATAGCCGGGATTCGAACCGGCGACCTGCGGGTCAGCACCAGAGTACCTTAGCCACTAGACCACCGCAGCGGGGCAGGGCACTCTGTGTTTGACCTCAAACCCAAGACGTTTGTGCACTACGTGGACGGTTGCTTCTGTGTGGTGAAATCTGGCGAGATCGACAACTTGCTTGCATGGCTGAACTCTGTGAGCCTGACATACAGTTCACCTCGGTGCCAACGGCTACACAAAAGCATTTGTTTGCAGAGGCGTCGTATACTAAATCCAGGGTGCCAACTGCCCCGTTTCCTATATTGGGGAAACAAAGAACTTCCATGAAAGGATGCGGCAGGACAAGAACGACCTTCGTCGACTGAACAGCCACAAGAGTGCAGTAGCAGAATAACGCGAGCGGTTTGACCACCACATCCACCAGGAGGACGCAATGACTCTGGAAAAAGAAAGGAACACCCGCCAACGACTCCTCCTCGAATCCTGGCACATTCAGCAGAAAGCAGGGAACATCAACTGCTCCACGGAGACATTGCCCTCCCTCTGCCAGGGTTTGCCACAGGCCGCGGCAAGCCTCTCACGCAAAGCAAGCAACCGTATTTATGCGCCGCACCCCTCACCCCTGAAGAATGAGCCAGTCTGGCTTTGAAACATTAGGTTTCAAAATACAACTTTTAGTTGGGGTTTTCTAATTGCTTCACTTCAGCATGAAGTTGCAGCCACAGCATGACTGCATCATCACCCAGCCAACCTAGCGGGGCAGCTTGATCTTCACAAACACAACGTCCTTGCCACAAAGCGTCTTGATGAACTTGTGCAAGTGGACGAGGTGCAGCATCACTTGGTCGAGGGAGCACTGTCACTCTCATGTCCCCCTAGGCCCAGGGAACAGGTATGGCCTGAAGTCACAAGCCTCTTCCTATTGGGGCTTATCAGAGTGGGCCAGCACTGTTAGGCAACTTGGGTGCGAGTGCTTGCATGAGAACACTGGCCACTTTCTCTGTGGCCAAGTTCCTGATGGATGGTGCCTTTGGGGTCTCGGCAGGTGGACAGCTCGTGAGCTTCTCACCAGCTGCCCACCGAATCACCCTACAATTAACAAACTCGCCAAAAAGAAGTTTTGATGGTGAGCTTCTGTAAGAAGAATCACGACGACACACCAGATGCCTGTAAGAACATTGCGTAATACGCAGTAACATGTTGTGGAGACAGCCAGGGTATTCAAACAGACTGGCCAGTGCCGCTGCTGATCCGGATCTAGCCTCTGGCGATGCCCTGCCACAGGGAAAAGATCCCACCACAACGTACAAGGCTCTGGCCCCTTGAGTGGACTCACTGCCAGCCTCACTGTCGGCCACTTGGTGACTCATGCTAATTACCACTGCTGCTGGTTGTCAACCAGTGTCATTTCTCAGCAGGTGCTTGCATGACTGGTGGGCTCCCAGCAACAGTCAGTCGTGTTCCATCCAATCTTGGCCCAAGCCCTTTCTAGGCTGCGTCAGCGTCATAAGGTTTTCACAGCGGCCGAAACGTAATCAGTGACCAAAACACAGGTCACTGCGATGGCGAAATGACGAACAATGCAACGGCCAGAACAAAGGAACGATACACATGATTACTGTTGGGGTATATCATCAAATTTAGTTTTCAGTGTGTACTGAGTAGTGGGTTGAGGAATGGGGGACACGTAGCCACTACACTGATTGGACTTTCGAGATTCTACATCACACATCCCATCAACTCTAGCAAACAAGCACTGTTTACAGATTTTTTTCATTGCAAGCTTCCATCTTTCCCTTCCTACGTCACACAAAGCGACACAGGAAATGATGTGTGAGGAAACGGCGGCAGCCACCTGCACATGCGAGAGCTTCGCAAGCCCGGCCTTGAGGTAAGCTTAAGTGGACACACACAAACACACACACAAGAAAAAGAAAGCCACTGCGTGCAACATGTGCATGCTACAGCAGATTGGGAACCAAGGAAGGGACCATACCCTGCGAATTAAGTTCACTTTCTGCGATAGGAGAATGACAAGCAAGGCAGAAACAGTGACCAGGACAGACAGAAGAAACAGGTGCTGTTCCTTCTGTCTATCCTCAGCAAGTGCACACAGTTTTGGCCTCATTAGGATTAACCAACTAAATCGAGATCTGATATTCCAATTCACGAATGGCAAGTGCAGGCGTTGGCGAAAAAACTTGATCCGTTCTCCTCTAAAGCAAAAGCCAACGTGGCACTAGGAGTGTCAATCACGAAATATGAGCCTGAATGAGCTAGTGCTTCAGTCAAAAAAGAAAAGCCTTGTTTACCTTGCGTTTGGCCTTCATTTTATCGAAGTATCACAATAATGGTCTATGACTCAAGATAGCTGTGTGAATTCGGGCCTTCTTAAAAACATTTAAGAACAATACTGAACCAATTATACTTCATATGAAATGTTTGTACAAACTGCCCCAGATCTTGAAGGTTTGATGCTCTCCACTTTTCCAAGTGTGTGCATTCAGCGACCAAAATTAGTGAAATAGCACTGTCTAGCACAATTATGTGCTTTATTTCTTGTAATAAAAAAATCAAAATATAAAATGTATTTTAAAGTGTAAGACAGCTTACCTTCTTGATAAGCTGGCATTTAGCAGTCTCTGTGTAACCCACCATTCCATCAGGACCACAGAGCTTTATAAATGGAAACTCTGACCGCAGCGCGATTTTCGCCGCCAGTGCAGTTTTGCCAGAATTGGGTGCACCTGCACACACACACACACACACACAAAATATTACGCATCCATAGGCTGCTTTTTTTAATGTGTTTACCATTTTGTATCTATTAAAATGGCCCATTTGAGGAAAACCATTACAGCCCTATTCACTGAGGTGTGCATAATCAGCAGTGGCAACACGATTTACAGCCTACAATCTGCACACATGGCTACAATCTGTAACAAAGCATGACATAGATAAGAGCCTTCCATACTTTTGAGGGTCACCATCTCCACCTCCTTTATTTGGGTTGGAGGAGAGGGTACAAAGCATATTAAACACTCCACAAAGGGCCACTCCTCCTAACTTGTCGGTCCAAAATTTTAAAAAATAAAAAAATGTCCCCAGCAAACGGCAACGTCGTCGCACCTTGCGTACAGCGCATTTTGTGGCAGCCACCAAATGGCAATTGGCATTTTGCGGCTTCATCACGCAGCGCCATCTGCGAGTTCTGTATGACCTGACTGAATAAGATTTTGCACACATAAATAGAAAATCGAACAAAAATTTCACACGTTCTCGGAAGAGCCGCACTTGATCAAAATCGTGGGGAAAAAAACGGGGCCTTTACATGAATGTGTGCGGTACATACAAGCACCAAGGAAAGCAATTGCAGCGCTCAAGAAGACAAGCCCGCTTGTCAAAACGTTGGCTCCAGTGACACTCCTTGTTCACGAACTTTTCACCTTGGTACGACAATTTCTTCAGAGAAAGCTCTCGGACTAAATTCGCCCAAAGCAAGACGTCTTTTCTTTAGCGTCGTGCATATATGCAAATTGGTATCACAGGTACCATGACATGTTCTCTCCTGTACGGATTTTTTGTCTTCATTATTGTCGATCCTGTCCCACAATAATTCTGTGAATAGAATCTATTTTGCATAAAACATGACACAACATTGAAAAAGTGGTTGAACAAGCCTTAATTTCTGAACTTCACGACAAGTTTGTACAGCTGGTAGGTATCTGAAATAATTTGTAATACTCTATGGATAAATTTTTAAAGCAAAGCAAACCATACATCCCAAGCTTTTGAAGTGTGTAAGCACTTTTATGCGGACTAAATAAAAAAATAGGAAAAATGTCAATACTCTGTCTCTGTCTATGCTCTGTCCATAAGCAGTCACTGTCTGTCCCTTTGTCACTTGAGACGATCATCATTATAAAGAAATAAATGAATAGAACAAAACATTTTCTAGGCACGACGTGGTTTGAACCTGAGCTCACCACGCTCTGACGGCAAATGTCAGCTACTGGTCTACACATCCACCCTGCCAGAATGTAGATAGCATATCTGAACTTTATGAATGTGTTGCACCCACAGGGCAAAACAAACGTAAATGGCAAACACTTTCTATAATGGCCACATTGAAGTTCGTGGTAGTAGAATAAAAACTCTCTGCAGGGCAAAATGTAAAACTGACATGGAGGCTTGGACACATTAGGAAAATTGTAGCTTTGCAAAAATTTGCTGCCACACAACTTTCCAATAAAAAGATGACATATTTATGCATGTGTAGTTAATGACTTCTGTGTCAATAGCACAAATACATGTGCAATTTTTTCCCAAGTAAAATTGTTGCAAGTACATCGCTAGTTTATGTCGCTTTTGTTCCGTCCATGTGCCACAAAAACAATCAAAGCATGACACGTTGAGATTTTTTTTTGTTAGTTGGTAATTATCATCTGCATCTCAGAAGGCAGTTATGCAAAATATAAATTCAAAAAGCAAGCAGCAACTAGAGATAAGGGTAAAAAGGAAGACAGGCTTCCTGTCAGTTTAAATCACCTTTCATACAGTCCTATTTAGAAATTTTTTATGCTTAATTTTTATGAAGAAATTAATGATTATGTTTGATGTTTCGTGGCACAAGGGCTATTTCATGGCCAAAGAGCGCCAGTTACTCTTACTAGAGATATGGACAATGATTGTGATAAGCAGCTGTACAGGGGCCATAAAATTTCTCGCGCTAAGGCGGGTAAAAACATAGAAGTAATAAAATCATGACCATGCCGTGAAAGTGTGTGGTGGTAATGGATGACAACAGTTTGTGATAATAAAAACGATGGTGGACATATATATAGAATTAGCACAAGTGCCTCAATCGTTCACACCCTTGGGTGCAAGGGCCGTGAGGCAACTGCTTTGTTTTGTGTACTAACCGCAGCAGAAACCTCTCTGAAGAGGTCGTGCTACGGAATGCCCGCATATATGATATGAAAAGTACGAACTTCTCTTAAAAAAGCCAACAATGATTTATGAGTAAAAAGTGGTTCCCTACCGACGAACATTGCAGAATGAAGTAGTATCTGTAGTCGGTAAGGTAACGGAAAGTGTTGTCTTCGCAGTGTGTCTAATTCTTTACAGTGGATTAGGATGTGAGGTACGGTGAGTGCTTCTCCGCATCTATCACACAAAGGTGGATTGCCCCCAGACAAAAGAAATGAATGCGTTGTGTGTGTATGTCCTGTTTTTAACCTTGTAAGGATTACTTCTGTGTGGCGTGATTTTGATACTGGCGGCCAATGACCAAGTTGTGGCATGATGACATGCAGTTTATTACCTATGTGTGCGTCCCATGTGCTCTGCCAATAACCCCTGAGCTTTCGTTTTAGAAAAGGTTTCAGGTCGAGTGGAGGAACTGATATCAACGTATTGGAAGTGGTTTTGTTGACAGATCCAGCGAGCTGGTCCACCAGAACATTGCCTAGAATGTCGCGGTGTCCTGGCACCCAGCAGACTACAGCATGCTGCTTAGATGAGTAGACTGTGCATAAGAGCGAATAGAGCGAGACAAGGACAAGGCTTTTCTGCTTTTTAAGAATTTTCAGGGCTTTTACTACGCTTAGGGAATCTGTACATATTATTGCCTTCTGTAGTTTTATTTGCTTAATGTGTTTAATGACCGCAAGTATCGCATAAGCTTCGCCGGTGAGAATGCTTGAATCAGGGTGCAGAACGCCAGTTTCGGAAAAGAATGGGCTGACAGCTGTATACGAGACAGAAGTGTCCGACTTTGAAGCATCTGTAAAGAACTCTGGACATGTGTATTTCTGTTGTAGTTCTAGGAAGTATGTCTGGATATGGGCAATTGGTGCATGCTTCGTAACCTCTAAGAAAGACACATTGCAATCTATCGCCTGCCATCGCCAGGGTGGCAGGCATACAGCGGGAGCCATCAAACGGTGTTCAAGTAGCACACCGGTTTCCTTCGCTAGGCCCCTCGCAAAGAGTGAGTAGGGCTGTCTCATAGAAGGCCATTTCTCAAACAAAGCAAGGCTTGACATGTCATTAATTGTGGAATGTGGTGGGTGATCCTTGTCTGCATTTACATTAAGATAATATTTAAAAGACATGAAACATCTCTGTAGGTGGAGTGACCATTCGTTCGATTCGATTGATTGATATGTGTAGTTTAACGTCCCAAAACCACCATATGATTATGAGAGACGCCGTAGTGGAGGGCTCCGGAAATTTCGACCACCTGGGGTTCTTTAACGTGCACCCAAATCTGAGCACACGGGCCTACAACATTTCCGCCTCCATCGGAAATGCAGCCGCCGCAGCCGGGATCCGAACCCGCGACCTGAGAGTATTCGTTCGCTTCCACGTACAGGCTTTCCACGGGGCTAGTGCGAAAAGCACCTGTGGAGAGACGGATGCTTAGATGATGAACAGGGTCAAGTATTTTAAGGGCAGTAGGTGTCGCAGACTGATATGCTATTGCCCCATAATCTAGGCGGGTACGTATGAGGCTTTTATACAAATTCATTAAAAACTTCTTTTCACTTCCTCACGTAGTGTGTGACAACACTTTTAGAAGGTTCATAGCTTTTATGCATTTGTTTTTTAAATATTTGATGTGTGGTATGAAGGTTAGCTTGGTGTCCAAGATTAGGCCTAAGAATTTTTGTTCGGTATTAACAGAAAGACGTTGCCCATTCAGTCGAATATCCGGTTCGGAATGAATGCCTTTCTTCTTCGAGAACAAGACACACGTGCTTTTCTGCGCATTCAGTCGGAACCCGTTTTCTTCTGCCCAATTGGAGACTTCGTTCAAACCAAGCTGAACCTGCCGCTCACACATGGCCAGATTACAAGACTTGAAACCAAGCTGGACGTCATCGACATATATACAATAAAACATATTGCGAGGAATGGACAAGCGCAAGGCACTCATTTTGATAATAAAAGGTGTGCAACAAAGTACACCACCTTGCGGCACACCTGTTTCTTGGACAAATGTTTGAGAGAGAACGCTGCTCACACAAATGCGGAAATGTCCGATTTGACAAGTAACTTTCGATTATACTAAGCATTATGCCACGCACGCCAAGATGGGACATGTCTCTTAATATTCCAAACTTCCGCCATGCCATATCATAGGCCTTTTCGGTATCGAGGAACACAGAGAGAAAATATTGTTTGTGGACAAAAGCGCCTCTGATCTGTGCCTCGATTCGAACAAGATGATCGGTTGTGGATCTACCCTCTCGAAACCCGCACTGTAATGGGTTGAGCAAAATGTTCGTTTCAAGGAAATGAACAAGTCAGCAGTTTATCATTTTTTCGAGAAGTTTGCATAAGCAGCTTGTAAGTGTAATAGGCCTATAACTCGAAACTGAAGAAGGGTCCTCGCCATGTTTCAAAATGGGAATAACAACAGCCTCTTTCCAGGAAGCAGGGATAGCGCCAGAGAACCAGATAGCATTGTACAAGCAAAGTAAGGTTTTTTGTGTTTTGATTGGTAGACTTTTTAACATTTCATACACCACTCGGTCAGAACCTGGGGCTGAATTACTGCAGGAGTTAAGTGATGTTTGGAGCTCAGAAACCCGAACATTTGTGTTCGGGTTTCTGCTTTTCTATTCTTGTTCTGTATTTTTGAAAAGCATCAGTATAATGTGACGAGCTTGACACCCGTTCGAGGTGTGCACCAAGGAAGTTTGCCTGATCTTCCAAGGTGTCACCCTGTGTGTTTACAAGTGGGAGTGAGTGCACTTTTCTTCCTCCTACCCTACCAACCATGCTCCAGACTTTAGCCTCTTGTGTTTATGAATTGATTTCTGATAAAAACTTCTGCCAGCTTTCTCTTCTGGCCTGCCGACGCTTTCTCCTGCCATGAGACTTCATTTTCCTAAAGCTGTCAAGATTTTTGACTGTCCGTGAGTTCAGAAGCAACCTCCATGCTTTGTTTTGCTGTTTATGCGCGTTTCGGCATTCAGAGTTCCACCACGGCACACGTCGTTTTTCAGGGTGTCCATTCGTTTGTGGGATGCATTTCGTTGCAGCATCAAGAACGCTGTGAAGTAATTGACAGCAGCATCGATGCTCAAAGTACATATATCATTTCAACCTAAACGAGTGATGGTATAAAACTGTTCCCAGTCGACTCCGTTTGTGAGTCATTTAAAACCCATGGTGAACACTCAGTTGCTGTAATTGTGCTCAGAACTACGGGAAAGTGGTCACTTCCGTAGGGATTACTGATGAGTTTCCGCTGGAGTAGAAGCACAAGGGGCGGAGATACTATGCTTAGGTCTATGGAAGAATTGGATTTGTTAGCGAGATTATAATAGGTTGGTTCTTTTCGATTCAAGAAACATGCACTTGACGAGAGGAGGAACTGTTCAATCAGTCGACCTCATGCGTCGCAACGAGAGTCACCCCATAGCTTGCTATGTGCACTCAAGTCTCCAAGGAGAAGGTAAGGTTCTGGAAGTTCATCAATTAAAGATTGTAAATCGTGTTTTTACAGCTGACAGCTTGGGGGAATGTAAATAGTGAAAACTGTGATCAGTTTATCAAAAAAAAAAAAACAGCTCAAACAGCCACTGCCTCAACGGACGTTTCGAGTTGTAAGTGTGTGCATGCGATCCCTTGATTTACTATAATTGCTACACCTTCGGATGGTGTCATGGCATCATTACGGTCCTTTCGAAAAATAATGTAGCTGCATAGAAAGTTGGTGTGTCTTGGTTTTAGGTGTTTCTTGTATACACAACACTTTTGGCGAGTGTTTGTATAACAGTTCTTGGACATTGTCAAGATTCCTTAGAAGGCCCCTGACGTTCCAATGTAAAATTTGAGTGTTCATGGTGAAAGTAAAGTAGTGCTGTGTGTACGAAGAGCGAGTGGCTGTTCAGGCGAGAAGTTTGAATTTAAGTAACAGGGCCGTCACCAGGCCCCATTATCTGTTTTTTTTTTTTTCCTGGGGCGCTCCAAGAAGCCACACCGCTCCCTCGGCACCAAGGGTACTGACGTATCCATTGCCTTCTCGGAGGCGCTGGATGCCCGCACGTGCGAGCCGGTTGTTCGAAGTTTAGGCCTCGCCTGATGAGGGGAAGCCCTGAGACCTGAAGACCCAGGGATCTCTGATCTCTATTCGTATGTAGGCGGAGTAGACTGGACTACTGCCGCCTTGGGGGCAGGGGCCACAGCAGACAGCTCGCTCTGCGCAGGCCGAAGCAGTGGCGAGGGCTGGTGGGACGCTACCCACAGACGCGCCGCATCATCATATGATTTTGGGCTATAGAATGGCGAGACCCTTCTTCTTGCTTTCTTAAACAAGATGTTTTCCTTCACCTTCAACGTGGTGACCGTTTTTTTTCTTTCTTCCAGAATAGACATGACCGTGAGTATAAGGCACGATTTCCATCACAGTTGACGCAGTGTGCAGGTTCTGTGCAAGTAACGGAGGTGTGACCCGAAACTCCACATTGTGAACAAGTTTGTCGGCCACGACAGCTTTACGAGCCGTGGCCATATCTCTGACATTGAAAGCATCGTCGCAGGTTAGGTATGTATGGTCGAACACGAAGCTATGTGTACCTAGTTGTGAGTGTTTCGGGAAGGATGCTGGAGCCAAAGGTAACGATTATATGTTTTGTTGAAGTCTCTTTTTCATTTCACTTCATCTTGATTCTCTGTACATTAATTACATTCTCTTCTTTCCAGCCATCAAGAAGTTTGGCATCTGTCAAGTCAACTAGGTCATCCTCCGATACGACTCCTTGGACTGTGTTCATCGAACGATGTGCTGAAACAGTGATGGGGACATCACCAAAAGTCTTCAAACTGGATAGTTTATCATATTGTTCCTTGTCTCGAACTTCAACGAGGAGGTCACCACTGCCCATTTTTGTAGCTTTCTACCCTGTTCCACGTGTGTCTATTAGGCACCTTGAAACTAAGAACGGTGAAAGTTTTCTGACAGGTTTTGCTGGTGAGTCACTGTGGATAACGTGGTAGCGTGGAAAGTTGTTTTTGTTTAGTTGGAATAGCTGAAAGCTTGCTTCGGTGCGCGCCCTCTTCACGGAGCGATCAGTAGAGGGTTGGAAGTTTTTGGCCATAAAATATAGAGTGTGTTCAGTGGCAGTGGCAGCCACCCACCACCGAGCCCAATGAGGGGACGCTGCAAGACTTGAAGAAATTGCTTGCATGAGCCAGCTGTACACCGCCACTATAACCTGATGTGAGGCATCCCAAGGTGGGGTGAACACAGAAGGTTAACCCTTGGTGCCAGGAAGAAATGGAAGTAAGAAGAGGACAGACTAAAAGTGACAGATAAAGACAAAGTCGTAGGAGAGAGAGATAGAAAAAGGCGACTGCCGATTTCCTCTGGGTGGGTCAGCCCAGGGGTGCCGTCTGCGTGAAGTCCGGCCCAAAGAGGTGTGTTGCCTCTGCCGGGGGGCCTTAAAGGTCCAATCAGCCGGCATCGGCTCAACCCCCAGGATCCCCTTTTCCCCAGACACGGCAAAGCCACGCACGGCTAGGCGTGGGAGGGAGTCGAAACCCCCCCGTTAGCTCGGGTTCATGGTGTCTCTACACACCAAATGCCTGCGTACACAGGCGCCCTTGCGGGGATGAAGCAATTTGCAATTTGTACTGCACTACTTGTTTTTATTGTGTTTGAAGATGATGAAAAAGAAAGTTACTTCCAAATTGCATGTAAAGTGCTCACCTTCGAGAAGGATTGTGACCAGACCTCTCGACTCTGGAGATCGTGCCTGCTGGATGAACAAATCTCCATCTTCCAGTATGGCACTTATCTTTGGTCCCCATGTGGTAACACCTTTGCACACCAGCTGTTCAATCTCTTCAGTACTGGTTCCGAATGCCTGCAAGTTATACCAAGCAACACATACAAGCCTTAGATAAAGAGTGATGAGGGTCTTGATACAGCCTGGCTTCCGGAAATTACTATTCCGAGGTATTTATGGTCAAAATTATGCTCCAGAAAAATATTATGTTATGACAAAATACCCTTTCTTTTTCTTAAAAATTCAATAGATTAAATTACAAATGTTTTTATACTTGGAATGATATTTTCCTGGCTTTGTTATTTTTGCAAAGTAAATGTGCCTTATGGAAGTTTTGAGGAAGTTCCCGAGAACATATTTAAACAAACTTAGTATTACTCTTTATTGCATCACTTGAACTAAAGGCTAAAGCTTTTTTTTTCTTCGCAACCTTAATAGAATTATAATTATTTGTCTGAAAATTGTTTCTGATCAAGGAAGAAATATCTCTATTGACATTTAGCTTGCTTCAGCCTGTAGGGTGGACCATTTAGAAGAACCACGTATTTTTGAAAACTAACACTTTGATTTGTAAGTTACCATAAATCCTAAAAAAATACCCAATTATAATATGAAAACTTGCCATTTCTTCCTGTCTAAATGAGATATTATTGAAATCTGTTGGTATATATGTAATCTGTTGATGTATTTGAAATCTCTCTTCTGTGATACACATGCACGGTAATATTCATAAATATAATATAATAAATAAAAAACATTTTTATTCTCATCTCCCCTTCACCAACACCAGACACTTACCGGCTTTACATCATTCTCCAGTGCATTCATGAAGTCGGCTCGAGTAACAAGAAGCTTCTCTGCGGCTTCTGGATCAAGTTCAACTTTGCTTCCTGCCTGAATTAAGAACATATGGAACTCTGTTATTCTTACCCAATATAGAAAAACATTTCTGAGAAAATCTATTCTGCAAATGTTTCCGAGAGAAAGTACAGGAAACTTAATACAGTCGACTCTCAATAATTCAAACTCAAAGGGACCTCTGAATTTAGTTTGAATTATCAAGAGTTTGAATTATCAGAAGTTCTCAGATAGATGACTCTGGGTGAGGTGACACCACACATTATGATTGGGCATTGATTTTATCACATTTAAAAATTTTTGAGTGTTTTGAATTCCCAACTGCATACAGCAAACAGAAAGCAGAGGTGTGAAATCCACAATTTATTGGCCATTAATGCTGATAAGACCTTTTAAAGAAATCGTGAACTGCAAACTGCTTCATTGCTATAAGTATGTGCTTTCTGATACGACTCTTAAAGAGAAAAGAAGAGAAAAGTGAGCCCCGTAACTGTCTCTTAGGGGGAGGACACCTCAACAGTAGCTCACGAGGGGGTGGGGTAAAGGAAGGATTAAAAGAATAGGATTAAAGGGTAAAGATATAGAGAGAGGAAGGAGAGAGCGAGGTGCAGGGGCAGCGAACCACAGGAAACTGCGGAAGTAAGGAGGAGATAGGAAAGATGGACACAGTCGCAGGAGTCCGAGGACGAGGCACCACTCAGGAAGAGCTCTAGTCGGCGGCAGGAGATGGCGCAGGGCGAGCCAGTTGGCCAGAGCTGCGCTGTCGTCGGAGATCGTGGGGGCACAACAGGTCGGCACGAAATCCAGAGAGCGAGTCGCAAAGCTTTCTATACCAGTTGAGAAGCATTGCGGTTTACTATATGTGTGCTTCGTTTCAAACACTCGTTTACTTACAAAGTTTTTTCCTCGAAAGCCTCAGGTGCTTACTTTTCATTTTTAGACAGTTGAGATTATTTAAGCACACAAATTTTTAAATAGTAGGGAGAAAGCAGCAGATATTTTCTGTTATAGAACCACAAAAAGTACGAATTAACCAAATGATGGAGTTTGAATTAAGAGGCTTTTAAATACGTTGAAAGAATACAAGAGCCAATCAAAAAATTTTATTTTGTTTGAATTAACCGAAAGTATGAATTATCAGAGTTTGAATTATCAAGAGTCTACTGTAAGGAGAATACACATTCGCAAAGCATGAATGAATTCACCTCTATGACAAATCTGGAAACATCCAGCTTTTGAGAAAGTTGGCAAAAGGAAGGTGAAACTAGCTCTTTTCTACATCCCTGCACAGAGCAATGACAGTGCCTTTCCCAGGCACCCGACACTTGATTTGAAATGTGTTGGTTTAACGTTCCAAAACCACCACATGATTATGAGAGACGCCGTAGTGGAGAGCTCCAAACATTTCGACCCCCTGGTGTTTCTAAACATGCACCTAAATCTAATCACACAGGCCTCAAGCATTTTTGCCTCCATCGATAACACGGCTGCCGCTACCAATATCCAATCCTGCGACCTGCGAGTCAGCAGCAGAGTGCCTTAGCCACTAGACCACCGCGATGGGACAGGCACCAGACAATGCAGCTTTCACAAGATGCGAGAGAGATGTCAAATGTAAGTTTTAAAGATAGACTGACATGCACATGGAAACTACAATATGACTGTGATTTGTCAAAGAATGCATTTATTTGCAGAATAATATGAAGCATTGGCAATATTGATTGCGGGCATTAACAATAATTACAAAATAGAAATTCAAATTTGGAATGTAGGAGAAATGCAAGAATGCGGAGCTGTTAGTGAATAGAGCAAACAAAGTAGACTCACCTTGATGAGGCGGTTCATAGCAGTTGACTGTGCTGCACGCACTAAGCCTTCTAGCTCAGCACCCGAAAAGTTTTTAGTAAGGACAGCCAGCTCATCCAAGTCCACATCAGGAGCCATCTTGCGATGATTACGCATCTGTGCTGTGTGGATATTCAGAATCTGGAGCCGACCATGTTCATCGGGGAGTCCAATCTCCATTTGCACCTCAAGACGACCTGGTCGTGTCAGTGCCTCGTCTATCATGTCTCGACGATTGGTCATACCAATCACCAGAATGTTGTTCAATGATTCCACACCATCTATTTTGGACAGCAGCTGGTTCACTACAGTGTCATGAACACCTGTGTTTCCAGCCTGGACACAAACATAACACATGTGAAGACACTTCAATATGTGAAGTCAGTATTCATTGCATTTTCTACAGGCCTTACCACAGAGCCTCGCTGCTTGCATATTGCGTCGATTTCATCGAAAATTATAATGTGAAGACCACTGTTGGCCCCTAACTGAAACAGAAGAGTAAGAAAGAAGAGTGTAAGAAAAAAAAACAGTTTGATGTGAGCGAGCTAAATTAAAAGGGGTACAGAAGTCAGTGTGCGTACTTTTTTTTCTTCCTCCTCTGCATCTTCAAAAAGACGCCGAATGTTTGCTTCAGACTCGCCAACATATTTGTTCAATATCTGAGGTCCATTTACTATCTTCGGTTCTCGTCCATTCAGCATTTTACCAATCTGACGAGCCATCAACGTCTTTCCAGTACCAGGTGGTCCATACAAAAGGATGCCACGGACATGCTTCAGGTCTGCAAGCACAGAACCACGAGGAAAGAAAAAATGTTCATAAATTTGTAGACAAGACCACAACAACCGTTTAACCCTTTACTATGTTGCAAATTCCCCACATACTGAAAAACTTCGAGCAAGTAAGTCGCGAAATGCAAGCCACTTTTAATTCCGGCTGTCAAGTACTAACAGGGCATGTAGCTCTCATCATCAAAAATCTAGCGCTGTCTTGTCTAAGGTATTGCAAGCTAGAATCAATTGTTTTGGAGCTGATGGTGGAGAGCGCAAAGTATGTGTAACAGCTCTCATTTCATTTTTTCTCGCCTTGGTGACATAAGTTCTGCCTTCATTAGTTTTGTTGATTTTGTGTGTACACACTCAAGAGGTAGCACAGATATTACACAGTTCTCAAGTACGTTTTTTGTTGCAAGATCCTCGCTTCTGTGGCATATGGAAAATTTGCGACATACATAAAAGTACGCATTAAAGTTGCATTCTAGATCGTTTAACTGCTAAATCATTTAAAGGTTGCTATTTAAAGCTAGAAAATGAACACAATTTTTATTTTGCTCGGCAGTTTCACAATTCAGGCATTATAGGGTCGAATGTTTTTATCAAATGCAACCCATCAAGGTAGTTTTTTTTAATGCTGATTTGAACTCTTCAGGTGAATATAATTCAGAAAACAACTGTCATAATTCTTTTAGGATGACCAAAAGGTGACCACAAAATCATTCATCTTGTTACATACACATGGATTATTCACGAGTAAACACAACATAAATTATAAAGAAAAACTATATGACGTTAAAAAAATTATGCCTACCAATAAACTTTCATGTAGTTCACAGACATACAAAATATGCACACAAAGGGACGTCAAGTGGAAACACTGAGAGAGACAAGTCGCTTTTGATCCAGTCAGCACACGAGTCTAAATTCATGAGTAACCCCTCATACGATGGCCCGACATTTACTGAATAAGATTCTAATTTTTCAGTTGATCAGAAATTCGGAGGAATCGTCGCTAGATTAACTCGCAGCAGAGAAACCTGCACGCACTTCCATAGTACAAGCAAACTGCACAGGTGAGCACACTGAAGAAAACTAGTTATCAACACGTCAAAAAAAAAAAAAATTTTCGAAACCAATAATAATCATATGCCTCATTGTCAATGTAACGGAAGCAGTTTTTGTCAGTTCCCAAAAACATAAAAATGAAACCACAGTGGCATCGTTTCAGTCAGTGAGTGTCTGCACAGAGACAGGCGTAATCACCTACTGGGGAGCCATAAACGAGAGAGTAACAAATTAGTCACCTTTTGAAAGATTATAAAACAGAAAGCCAGTGGTCTTGGGGGTGCAACAAGCGGGCACCGGCCAAAGAACAAAACTGAAACTAGCCAACGCACCGCTGTGGTAAAGCATAAAAAAGAGGAATGGAGACGCATCGCTGCAACAAAAAATTTTATGTATTCCCGCATCATGGTAGCACATCCCAAACATCATCATTGTTGGAGTTTAATGTCCCAAAACCATGATATCATTATGAGACGCTCTGGTGGATGGCTCCGCCATTGCCTCAAGCATTTCCACCTCCACTGAAAATGCAGCCGCGACAACTGTGATTCGAGCCCGCTATCTGCAGATCAGCAGTTGAGCACTATAACCACTAGACCACTGTGACAGGTCACAAAAAAGGTAGAAAAACAATTGCAGAAGGCAAATTTTTTAAACATATAAGCGATGACGTAGATGTTTGTCTCCGATCATCTTGAGGATATTAGCGGATAATTTAAGTCACTGACCCTGAAAGGGTTGAACAGTATGGCCAATAAGAAGGTAAAGGGGTGCTCAGTCACAACTTCTACTGCTGCCTTACTTACATCAAAGTGCTGACTGGACAGGCACTATATACTTATGGGCTACAATAGACTCGCAGTGAATGAAAATATTTTAAATGAAGCTGCTGCTTAAATGCAATAACTGCCAGTAGTGCGACTCAACACATGAATATCCTGTTAAATGCAACACATTTTCCTGATCCCTTCAGGCTACATTTAGTGAGAGCCTACTGTAATGTAGCATTACTGTAATGGTCAAACTTGTCATTCATCATCAGCATGATTAGATTCTTGCAAAGACTGAAGTGTTCTTTCAAACTCACCAAGCTGTTCAATAACTTCAGGTGGAAACACTCTTGAGGCAAATGCTCTTCTGAATATAGCACTGAACTCTTTGTCCAAGCCTCCAATGCCCATTTTATTAAAATCCCAGTCAGGATTGATGATAGACTGACGAACCATTTTCCTGGTGAAAAAAAGTAATAATATAGAACATTTAACATGTGAAATAAAAAAAAAACCTTCCAAGGGCTCTGAAACATATTTCTAAAAGTGATCGGACATGCCTCACTTGTGGACTCAATTGTCCAGCCACAAAAGTTTTGTGACTCCTTCAAGTATAAGCAGAGTTATAAGCAGTTATTGCCCACCTTTACTACTTTCTCTCTGCTTTCATCCCCACTAGATCGCTGGCGGCTACGCTGCTGCGTGTAGTCACTTTGGAGATTTTCGTTTTTGTGATGTGTTAGGTTCTAATTTGTGTGAAAACATGTGCGTCCTCTCATGTCACCATGCTATTATAGGTACACCACCTAGAGGGACCAATCAGAGCACAACAATTGTCAGCCAGCGAGAGGTTTGTGGCAGCAATCTGTGGTGATTGTGGTATCTGCACTACATGGAGGAAGCGGTACGTTGCTACATAGCACAGCATTTGCCATGAGCACGATAGCACTAAAATACAAGCTGCCTAGCTGCGCGAGTGTGTGGTGCGGACCAGCTTTGTTCTGCACTAACTTGACTGACAGACAGCAATTTCAAATTGACATTTTGCAGTTTGAATATTATCAAGGTCCCTTATTAGCTTTTTCTGAAGCACTCTGGCCTTATTTAGCTCAGTAAGAAGTGATGCCTACCAGCTTACAAGGTGCAGGGGTAGGAAAGCAACCAGAAGGAAGGTAGTGAAGCCTAACAAAGTACATGTACTACAGGGGAAGCAAGATGCAGCAGGGCATACCGTCACAGCCATAGATCGGCAAAAAAATGGGGAGCTTATTCAGCCTCACTCAAGAAACATATATATCTTGCGCTTACGGCTCACTCGGACTCAGACTCGCCAAAATTTTCTTCTACCTTGATCGCTCGGACTCACTAAAATGCTTCTCATACAGATTTGCTAGGACTCAAACTAAAGACTCGCAGCTCGATCTGCGAGTCGGGCCATGAGCAAGTTTGACAATCTATGGCCATTTCAGTCCAAGTGAAAAGTAAGTGACCTACCGAGCATATGGCATCTTTAAGAGCCTACATGAAGTATGCCGGGTGCCATCTCACATAGATTTAGAAAACTAAATATTAAAATAATGACCATAAAAGAATTGCTGAAATGGATATCACATGGATAAAAAGCACACTAACGGATGAGCAAGAAAAAAAAACTTCAGCCGCTGAGAATTGAACCCACGACCTCTCGGTCCGCAACAACAGGCACCTAGACCTCTACCTACTCAATACGGATGCACATGCACAAGGCTTCACAATCGCGCCTTATATATCTCATATTTTATCTCGCACGGTGCTTTCTGTCGGTGGGGCTAGGCGAGGTGGGGTGGCGTTGTCTGAGCGGTGAAGTACTGCATCATGACACTAACGAGCACCGTGTTTTGACTGGGGTTTGCAGGCATCGGAGGTCCGGGATGAAGTTGTCGAGGCAGGAGGAAGAGAGACTTGAAGATGGTTTATTTACATTATGTACATGGTGAACTCTCTTACATCACGAGCTCTTTCTTACATGGCGAGCTCTCAAATCTCGTGCTCCTTAACATGGCGCTCCTTCGAATGAGTCGGGTGGCTCATTATAAAGGGTATGTTCTCCCCAGATCCCTAGATCAGGGAACACGTGCAGATGGTACTGTCCAATCACAGATCATGCACAACTGGCCAGGGGGACTAGCATGCACATCCTACGTGAACGTCCAATGTTGAGTCGTGATCACTGCACTCCAAGGTGGCGCCAGCGGGGTTTCTCCTCGTCGTGTGCGTGTCCCAGGGTGAGGGGTCCCAAGCTCATGACAGCATACATCAAAGGGTCCGCCGATCTGTTAGCTCAATCAGCGGGGCGATTTGCGGCTGCCGCTGTAGCATCTTTCAGGGAAGCTGCCACACTTGTCTCCTGAACCACTTACGGCGTCGTGGAGACACGACGCCTCACCCTCGGTCTAGGAGAGAATACCTGGTGGTCATAGGCAGCCGGCCGGTAGGCTGCTTGTTTGAGTATCTAAAGAGTGCCGCTCCCTCGTCAGCTCTGGCGCGATTCACAACAACCGATAGAAAGAAATTCGCCTACAATGCAGTTAGAGCAGTTCGAAGTCATCAAGGAGCAGTGGCCAAGCTAGCATCAAAGAGTTGCCGTAAATGCAGTTATATTCTTTACCTGTCACTTTGTGCTATAGCGCGTCACAGCTCATCAAACTACTGCAGCTCCCACATGCCCCAACAATGTTTTTCCACGGCCTACAAAATAAACTGCTGCAATAAGCACTGTAGAAAGGCAATGATGTCAATGGGTGAATGTCGTGCCTTTATGGCGCGAGACATAGGACAGTGGGACATATAACAATTTCGTGGGAATCCCATGTTGCTGACATGCAGTGTGGTAATGTATGCATGAGAACCAGGGTAGGTTACCTTATTATTTGGAAGCTTATATCTTGCTGTCTGTCTCCTCAAGTGATGACACTTTCATGGAATACAAATCAAGTACAAGTGTTAATTATGTGCTTGTCATGCCATCTTTGCATGGGATTCACAGTATGCTGTGTCCACGTATATGTTAATAACTTCAGCTACCACAACGATTCAATCATGATCATAGGCACTGGTTGTCGCCATGGAGATGTGTTGCTAGGTGTCAACATGGTGCTATAGCTGTCAAACAACAATAGACATTGTGCAAGCTCTCATAGATCAATGAACAATAAATAATCAACTACTTCTGTGACGACGTGTTTTACTTTCGTGTCATACAGATTCCTATGACAGAAGGATGCCTATGCTTTTTTTAAAGGGCCAGTAAACAAGCACAGACATTTTTCTGAATTCCCCAAACAAGCTCGCCAAGCCATAGAGTATACTATGGTGATCACATTTTCTGAATATTACAAAAATGCACACCGCGGAGACTCTCAATTTCAAAAAACGATTTCTGCACCTCCTTCCTTCACTTGACCAATCCTCCTTGTATGCGCAGTGACGAAATCTTGCTCATAGGCAACTTTATGTACCACTGAGCTAGCCGAATGTTTGTCAAGTTAAAATCAGTTCTTCTCACCCACCGCTATGAAACTGCACCTAGTTTTTTAGCCCTACAGTGATGCGGTTTGGCCGAGCAATTGTCAGTCGTATATTCCTCACACCGCAAGGCACCCGCACGCACCGCACCTGCACGACGGGTCATCACCCTTTGCTGTGCATCGACATGGCGTGTCACCGTAGGGATTCATATTCCGCATAAACCTTTCGACGCGTTCGAGATGCATGTGCAACCATGTAAACAGCAGTAAACAGTACAGAACTAGAAGCCGCAGCAAGCGCAAGTGCATTGCGACAGATCGAGCTTGCCGATGACGTCAATTGCTGACGTGTCTCGCTGTCGAAGTGGGCGGCGTCATGGCGGTGGACTCAACGTTTATAGATACTTTTTCAGTTTTTGAACTCCTCCTTTTCAGGTGGGCGCGATTTGCTCGAAGGGAGTGTGAGGGCGCTGCAGTCTAACTTTGTGCCAAGTAACCGGCTGCTTCCCGCTAGCTTGACTGCGGCGGCAGTTTCGTGCATTCTGTGCCGGTGTTCGGTCGCACTTTTTTTGTGTGTGCATGTCCCCTAAAACAAAACTTCCCCCTCACACGAACCTGGGGGAAGGACATGCCGGGACAGACGTATGGATGATGATGGGTTGATGTGTTAAGCGAGACTCTGAGACAAAGCATCTCGGAGTGCCGTGTCTTTTTTCTATCTGGCAACGGCATGTCTCGTCGCATGGCATGCTTCTACGGTCTTATGAAGACAATTCGTTGCCTACAGTCACGAAGATACTCAGACATCCACGACGTAGGAAACTTTCCGAATGTTGACGTCGCGGGCGCGATCTAAGCATTGACCACGTGTGGACACACCGAGCTCATGTGTACGTCTCCTGAGGTTAAATCTACCGTTGCAGCTATCCTGTGCGCCATAGCTCAGACCCTGCGAACATCATAACCACGTGTTTTGTGACCGGGCGCACTAGCGGGTAAAGGAAAAGTCCCTAAAAAGCCACTTCTCCCCGCCGTCCGACCCGTGCTGTTATTGCAAAAGTGGGAAAGATCCATGAGAAAGTCTGGGAAAGACATGCAAGGTGGACGATATTCACTTTCAAGAAAGCGACATCCTGAAAACATAGGCATATCACAAATGGAGAAGGCTAAACCGACCAAGGTGCATGGGCATCGAGGAGTGATGGAGTTCCTTGATTATTTCCGAATATCCCAGTGTAATAGTAATGACGCCGCAAAATAAAGGGTACCTGTACAACAACCAACTGCTGCTGCCTTGTCATCTGCCAGAATAATGCCGGCAAGAGGTCCCCGCTCCTTCGCAAGACTCCAGTTTTTCTGAGTGATTGAAAAAAAAAGTGTGCTTCAACTTCGCAGCAACTAGAGTTCGGTGGTGGTCCTTGAGGAGATGGAGAAACCTTCGCTAATAACCTTCTATAATGCAGAATTCACAGAATACATCTACTGGCACAGCGAAAGGAGAAAGTGCGCCGCTACGAAATATTCATTACAAGGACTGTGTGGGCATCACTGGGGCTAACAGACTTATGTGTGTCTTGTGTCACTTTAGCAATTACAATAAAAAAAAATTACAAAAACAACCAAGAACAATGTGTAGATTGCAACCAGCGAATCGAGGAAACGCTTGATCTGTGCCACCGCCGCCCGAAAACAGAAAAAACTTGAGATACGCCAGCTGATTAAAAAACAAAACATGAAGACTGGATCCCCAGCGACTCTCACTGATCTGGTTGAAGATTTACCTGAAGTGCAGAAAACATCCCTTTATAGTACATCCACCATGCAACAAGCAAAATGAGCGAATGGGTATAGGTACACAACAGATTGTCTTATGCTTTGTTTGCCCCTCACAAGCTCGAATGGTTACACGAATTCAGCTATGCGCTTGTTTGAAATTGAAATTGGAATGCTTGTGACTAGTGTGTGACAGTGACAAGTGTTTTGTGTCAATACACTAATGTTTTCCTATTTTCACAAATTTTGCACTTTTTTAATGATCTTCAGTATTATCCACTCAGGCAACCATAGATCTGAATACTTCGAAACAAGTGCACTGGTTTATATACCAGCTCAACAGAGAAATAGCATCGTTTCAGTGAATTTTAAATGTGGCTGATACCTTACAACAATGGCTCGGTTTCAACTTCCTTCAGAGAACGGCCCGCCGAGGTGCTTTTTGCTGCGAAAGTTAATGTGCCCAGCGTCGAAGATTCCTATGCCGAGACTCGCGAAAATAGCTTCTAAACAACTAAGCTGGAACCAGATTAGTAATAACCTTTTTACCGCGGCTTCGGTGAGATGTTTCTAATACAACTGAGCTCTAAATTTTGTTTCTACTACCTGGAAGAACAAGACGTTACAGGGTGGCAAAATGAATTGATTTATTGATTGATATGTGGGGTTTAACGTCCCAAAACCACTATATGATTATGAGAGACGCCGTAGTGGAGGGCTCCGGAAATTTAGACCATCTGGGGTTCTTTAACGTGCACCCAAATCTGAGCACACGGGCCTACAACATTTCCGCCTCCATCGGAAATGCAGCCGCCGTAGCCGGGATTCGAACCCGCGCCCTGCGGGTCAGTAGCCGAGTACCTTAGCCACTAGACCACCGCGGCGGGGCGGGGTGGCAAAATGGCTCTTTTAATTGATAAATTTAATGTTCGTTTAGCACAACGCTACGTGTTAATATTTTCATCAAGGACTTGGAAAGACACCGCACATGCATCTAGGCTCTAAGTTATACTACTCGTGCCTAAACCAAGAAGTTGCGGTGTTGTGTAAACGCTGCTCACCGGCTGCACCGCGCCTAGCTGTAGCAGACGACCCTCGTTTGCTTGGCGCAAAGTTGGCCTGCAGCGCCGCAGTGGCGGGAACTGCAGCTAACCGTCTGCTCCCCGAAAAGGAAGCGGAGAGTTCCGAAACTGAAAAAGTATCTATAAGCATTGTGTGGGCTATGCCTTCCCCTTCCTGAAGAAGATAAAGGTGGCGAGGCTGGGAAAGAACTTGAAAACAGCCAAAATGGTAGTTCTAACCTCTGTAATTTCTTTATTATAACACGTATTTGCAAAGTTCTAGCGGCAGCACGTTCTCACAACAAAAGAGCCCATATTTCCATTCATTACAATTTTTGTACATTGGGGTTGTTTACTGGCCCTTTAAGGTCAAATGTCCATTTTATTCATTTGACTTAAAATGTACACTAACACCGCATTACTAAGAACGTTTTTAAAAGGATGAAACAATCAATGCATCCTAGGCCCATTATTGTCCACTTGCTACGTAGTTTATGACAACATTATGAAAGAGCATTCAAGTAATTTTTCACTGTTCTCTAGACAACATTGCGATTTCCTTGCTGCTTTCAGTCCAACAATATTCAGCTCACATGTTCATGTAGGCCTTCTCTACATAGTGAGCCTCTCGTTCTAGCCAACTTGATACCTTCAGGTAGTATGCGAGAGATTGTTGGTCAGCAGCCAGCTTTAAAAAAAAGTTACATGCAACGTGGAAGAAGCTGACAAGAAAATTTGTACCACACACACCGCCATGGCTGCCATCGGCGCCAACACTCCCAGGTTTAAGTGGACAGGAGGATGACCACTGCAGCCCAGTTGCCAGAGGATCAAACATGTAAACCAATGGTTTCATGTCCGGTCCCTGCCAGCACCAAGTTATTTTTTCACCCACTTACTTTCTTCACAAATCAATTATTGTAAGCAACATCCTCTATACTGTCCCTGGCATCATTGTCAGGTAGTTCTCATTAATATTGTGCATAACAAAGAAAAACGACCCCTCAAATATTTCCTTTTCTCTACAGGCAGACAACACTTTCATAACATGCTTAAAAAAAATTTGAGCCCTCTTACAGAAAACGCAACAGAGGACCAATATGAGGAGGCTACCGAGACTACCTAAAATACGGAATGTATTATGCTGCTGCATGTGCATCCTTCGGCATGTCTCTACAAGAAACCCTTTTTAGACTTACCCTTTTGCATGTCCAGTAAGGCTCAATGTAGAACCCTCAGCCTTTTCGAACACAACACCAGCATCTGGCAGCAGCAACCCAATCTGGGTCTGAAAAAGATTAATTTTAAAAGGTACAAAGTGTATGGGTCACAACATAGATGACATATTAAAGAAAACATTACACTTCACTAAATCGCCGTGTGAAAACTCCACAGCAGTAGAGTCCATATCAAAAGCTTATGCCTCCCAGCATACTAAAAAATTTAACAATGCAACTTCTTTTCCTGTAAGGTTTCAATACTGACTGCACACTGTTTTTAAGATACAGTCAAATCTCACTAGTTCGAACTTCCGGTTAATTCGAGCTGATGATGAGGTCCCGTCAAATCTATGTGTATTCCAATGGGTGAAAACGCCCGGTAATTCGAATGTCCAAGCACTTCCGACGGTTCATTCGAATATACCGCCCACTGAATATGCTCTCAGCCCCCTTCCCAATCCCGCGGCAGCACCTGGGACACCTAAATGCTGCGCGCAAAAGAAATGAAAAGGAAAGAAAAGGCTGTGGTCGAATGTTTGCTCTCTCTCAAATGCCGATCTGCGACGTGCCCATGTCACGCTTCTCCCTTTTCCGTCCCTGCCACGTAAAGACTCTTCTCCTTCCAACACCGCGCGTGAAGAGAGAGAGAGAGGAAATAAAATAGAAAGCTGTCCCTGGGTTGAATGAATGTGTTGCTGCAGGAAAAGAAAAAGGCACTATCTTCTGCAGCCCTTGCCCCTTGCGGGAGCATGGCTCTGCGCCTTGAGGAGGGTTCTCTCACGCGCCGGAGCCACGCTTCCCCTTTCCCGTCCCTGCCACAAAACCCTTCTCTCAATGACGTGAGCGAAGAGAGCAAAAAAAAAAAAAAAAAAGATGCCATGGAGTGTTGTTTTTCTCTCAAATGCTCCACGTGGAGATGCTCCTCCTTTCTCGTCACGTGCTGGCCATGCTGCGGCTTTGTAGCGGAGAGCGGGACGCTCCACTACGCAGTCGTTGTTGTCATCGTCTTTATAAGTGTCGGCGCTGGACATTTCCGCATGCAACTTTTTTTTGCCAGGAGATTGCTGAAGCCGAAGTAGAAATGCTTTGCTAGCTGCGTGCGAAACTGATTGACTCGCTGCAAGGCAAACGTGCGCAGACGCGCATCACTGATTACTTCAATTAATAATTGATTACTTCAATTAATAATGGATATCCTATGATTTGTGAATAAATGTAAGTCTTCTGAAACTTCCACCTCGTGTGTTAGCTCATTGCACATGTGACACTGCATGGAGAGCCCTCCGCTTATTCAGCTTTCATTAATTTGAACTTCTTTAAATTCAAACAAATTTTCAGGCACCTTCGAGTTCGAATTATCGAGATTCGACTGTAATTTAAAATTTTCACAAGTTTCCTTGATTATCTGCAAGTGTCAGCTGTTTTAAGCGAATGTGTGCTCGAGTTGGTAGCCCAAAGAACAGACACAAGCAAGAAACAGACACATGAGACAAATGCTAACTTCAAAATAAAGTTCATTCTCAGGACCCACACCTACTCATCACTCAGCAAAGATCAGAAAACCACACTGTCACCCAAGAACACCTTGTCCTACTTTAACAATGATAATGAATAAAAACATGCCACAACATTTTAATCAATTCCTGTAACAGAAACTGTACAAGGTAATAGCAAAGCAGTTAAAGAGGCTAAAAACTGATGCTCAGGCTCAAGCCTTCATCACAAATAAAGTGAAGGTGCCAGATTAGCTGCAAGGAAAGCTAACTCACAGGGGTGAAGGTTCAAGAAAGGCTGGCTGACACATTGCATCCGTCCTTTGAATAATAAAAAAAAATCTGTCTGACACTGCAGAATACATATGCAGTAAAGAAAACCACAAACAGGCTCGCTGTACCAATAGGCACAGTATGCATTTTGTTCCTCAAACCGGAAATGTAATGTGCACTACAACTTGTTCATTCGAATTTCATGGAACTGGGAAAAAAAATATGGCCAAATAACAAAATGCCGGCTTAAAAAATTATTCAAAGTACCACTATAACAATAAACAAGCGTCTATTATACCAGTGCATTTTAATTTTCTTAATACATAAATCCAGTACTTATTTCGCTTAAAAAATTTAAAAAGTAACTTTTGTCATTCCCGATTTCATTCACAAAGCGACTACGTCTCAAGAATCCTACATCTTCAGCCAAAATGTGCCCTGAACCCATCTGCTTCGATATACCACCACCACCACCATGCTCAAGCAAATAGTTTTTTCCCCAGCACAAGCAAGTGATGATAATTTTTCTGAAGCCTAGCGATACATTGTCAATAATATGGTTGTGAACAACAAGGTGTCCACAGAGGTTTTGAAAACTTTCTCGACTCAAAAAAAAAAATCTCAACCTAAAGTGTGTCAGCCAGCCTTCCTTGAACCTTCACCCCTGTGAGTTAGTTTTCCTAGCAGTTAACCCGGCACCTTCACTCTCTTTGTGATAAAGGCTTGAGACTGAGCATGTGTTATGCAATCAAAAGCTTTCAGTTTTCAATTCTTTTAACTGTGTTGCTATTTACTAGTATGGTATTCTTTACAAGGGTCGATTAAAGTGCTGTGGTGTGTTATCAATTATTAATGTAAAAGCAGGATGAGGTGTTCTTGGGTGATGATGCAGTTTTCTAATCTTCGCTGAGTGACAGGAATACACTCGGTGTCCCGAGCATTGACATCCAGCCAGGCCAACACATCATCTCTGCTCCAGCTTCTGGCACCGTCTGATCTACCGTGTCCCGTTCTTTTTTCCTTGGCATGCGCACGTTGGCCTGTGCAAGGAGATACCTTCCAAGGCGGGTGAACCATTCTCGCTTCAGTGAACGTGCTTGCACGTATTTGCCACCGCGTTCAGTGGTGTCATGGGGCCTTATCACACATGAATTCCAAAAATAAATCAAAAGTTTGAAGGTAATGCTCATTTCGTGTCTTTCTTGCTCATGTTCCTTTTTTCGTTAACAGCTCAAGCACACAGTCTTACACATTTGTCAAGATTTCAGTTCTTGTAAGCAAATGTATACTTCTGTAACAGAAAGTTGCACAATTTATGAGAAAATGAGCACACAAACTTAGAGCCACACTATTTTTAAAAGCACAAAACCAACAAGTAATACAAACATGACAGAACTAAAATAATAAAAAAATGCTGTGCACAACTGCTTAATGCATGAAGAAACTGAGAAGCCCCAAAACAATGAAAGTGTCCCATGGGTGGAAAGAAAGAAGGAAAGCAAGAAAGTTGCAATTGCAAGAGTCAAATGCTTTGTATTACTAATCTACACAAATTATCAACAAACATAACTTACAGTCTTAGGCTTTGATTGAGGCTTGGAGACATCGCCTTTCAGATATTCCAAGCTTGCAACTGCATTTCAAATATTTAAAAAAACGAAATAAGATAGATTAACACAGCAGCCCACTCATAATTCATTTGAGAAGATTAGAAGATTATAAGAAATTATTAGTAGGGGCTCCATTTTATACATAGGAATTTTCAATATTAAATATAAGTAACTTTCCAAACATATTCTAGCCGATTGTTTGATGTTGACCTCTCGAGAAAAGAGTGTAAAATTATTTCATTGCAAAATACAACAGCAGTTTATTCATCTCAGCACGATGCTGCTTTTTCCAGCAAACAAGCAGAACTGTACGCAAAATGTAGACCTTTTAAAGAGGCACCCCATCGCACCCCCCAAAAAGAAACTCCCACACAAACCTATGATGGCAATTTAATGTTAATGTCACATGCAGTGTTCATAAAAAACAAATGTGACAATGTCAATGAACATCCTATGACTCATAAGTTACGAACGAAATGTGAAGAATGACAGCTATGGTAAACTAAACCAGGGATGTGTCCCAAAAAAAAAAAAAAAAGCTTGGTTCTCACCTTCCATTTCTTTAACGACAAGTTTCAACAGCTTTTTATCAGAAAACTGGTAGGCCAGCTGCAAGAAAGCAAACAATACATTACTACAAGATTACCACAACTGCTAATTAGGCCTAGAGAAAAAAAAAATGAACAACAGGACAAAGAAAGACACATGAAGCAGTTCATGTTATCCCTTCATCTTGTGTATTTCTTTAAAATCACTTTTCTAATCATGGACGACTGACCGACACCCACACCACTTTACTACTAAGCTTAAGAATACAAAACTTTGAACACCAGCTTCAAACACTTCAAAGCATATCAACTAAACTTATTTTAAGATGCTCCACTGCAGAACAGCTTATAGGCACTTTATATGCTAACAATAATTTTGGGTGCAACTAAAGCAAGACCTAGCAGTCTGCAGGGGTGGAAGCATGCTTCAGTCTTTTGTAGCTGCTCAGGGAGCAAGAATCATACTGTTTTGGAACAGCTCCGGAGTGGTAAAAGGGGAGTTTGTAGCAGCTTCGTAGCATCAAGTGCTAAGCGCTGGAGAAATGGAAGTTACTGTTAGAGCAGATCTCTAGGGACAAACGTCATTGTTAACTGAATTATTTTATTTTTGATACACAAATTTTCCAATGTTCTTCAGTATTCAGTCATACGAGTTAAGAAACTCCCCACATATCAAAATCTGAGACACCACTGGCCGGAACTGGGGAGGAGGGCCTCCTTATTGTAGTGCCATCCTTAGGGTAAACAAGCTCATACAGTGAAGCGCCGACTTTTCAGACATTCTCTAAAATTCAATCCCTTGCTCGGCACCTTCTCAAGCACCATAGCTGGCAAAGTCCGAAATGTTGGATGCAAAAATTCATTGGTGTAAGATTTTTCTGACTATGTCCAAATTTCAGGTCCGAAACTACATTAATTGAAGCTCCTACTTTTGCTGTGTATGTCACCTCTTAGGTTCGAATGAGCACTTTTGCGAGTCAATCTGTCTGTGGCTGTAGCAGTCTTTGAAAGTCAGCTTTGCTACAATGCCCAAATGCTGAAGGGCAAAGCGGATGAAAAATACAAAGAGGAAGTTTTCACAGCCGAGTGTGGCGATGTCTTTACTGATAAGCATCAGAAATGCACGGAGGCTGGGCAGGCAGCAAACGCACCTGTAAAACTCAATCACTGACGTTTCATGATAAGCTTTTTCAGCTAACTGCTCAGTAGTGCATGTGACCTAGTGCAGTTTAAGCATACTGCATGCTTTTAATAGGCGACAACCGAAACGCGCCATCGTTCAAGCTGTTATTGTACTGTCACTTCGTTTACGTGTGTACATATATTGGGAAAAGCAAGACGAGGCCTCGCCCGCTCTTTCACCTCAATGCTCATGTTTTCCGTGTCATTGTTTCCATACCCTCCATGCAAGAAAGCCACAATTCAGCAATTGGAGCAGACCCGCAGCCAGGAGAACGAACCCTAGACACCCCCCCCCCCCCCCCCTATTTGAATGAAGGTTTGTGCCACCATATGATTATGAGAGACACTGTAGTGGAGGGCTCCGGCAATTTCGACCACCAGGGGTTCTTTAACGTGCGCCCATATTGAGCACGCGGGTCTACAGAGTTTTCACTTGCTTCAAAAATGCCGCCGCCGCAGCCGGGATTCCATCTTGCGACCTGCAGTTCAGCAGCCGAGTACCTTAGCCACTAGACCACCGCGACGGGGCCTGAACTGGGGGTTGGTATTTAAGAGGGGTGTGCGGCAGGTACCTAAGATATGCACAAGAGCCTGGATGTGCATCACAATGTCTGATAAGTGTACTAGCAGGCATTGAAGCTATCTCGAACGTGGCTACGCTAATTTGACTGATTGAGCCGAATAATAAAGCATGAATTTTGCTTTTCAGACAAAGCAATTTTTTTTTTTCAGACAATTTCACAGTCTCGGGAAGTACGAAAAATTGAATGCTGACTGCCATTTCCAGCATGAATGACATTTTCGTGCGTTCTGGTGCTGAAGCCAGCGATAGATGCCACGTCGATGAAGTCAGCAGTATTTTTACGCTTACAGCTTACATTTTGCTGGTGATGCTGCCTCTTTAAAGGCCACTCACCAGGCCCCGTACCAAATTTTAGTTAGACAGTTGAAATTGTTGGGTGTCCGATGAGAAACATTTTGCCACAAACATTTTTAAATCTGTTCATCACGAGCGGAGAAAACGAGTTTTTTGAAGCGACGCGAAACGAGGATGACAGGAGGCGAGCTCGAAACCCTTGCCGCTCCTCCGTATCGCCTTCGCCAGCCAAATCTCTTCCCCACCCTCTCCAGCAGCTGACCAAGAGGTCACCTGCGCATGACGTGCCCAAACAAGTCCAACCCTCGAGCACGCGAGCAGCGTTGCTTTGTTGACCAGCGTTATTTTGTGGTCTTCTGCCCGTTTATGCGGGCTGGTTTGGAAACGCTGGCTTAGATGCGGTAGAATAGATGAGCAGAATGAGTTCGCAAATGCGTAGGAGCGTTCCACGGCGGTCGTCTGCTGGATGCGCTGACCGCGAAGACACGAACGCATGCGAAACGCCGACATATTAGCCCCGCATCTCGTTGCAATTCCCCGGAGAAAAATGGGAAAAAGACAAGATGCTCACATTCCCTTACTGCGTCTCATTATTTATCTAGAGCTTTATTAATCTCTTCAAGCAACAAATTACATAAACTATGCATGCCGTGTTAAATAATTTTTGGCATGTCACGTGCCACTACTTGCAACGTCAGAGCAGAGTCGTCTACGTAGAGGACCAACGTCACTGCATTACAGGGTACGTAGGGCCATTCATACGCGCACGTCATGCCCTCATTCTCTGGGCGCGTGCCTGCAGAAGGGAGGGGGAGCAGCGTTCATCTTGAAATTTGACCCGTTTCTGCGGCGCATAGTGTTGCAAATTTCGACCTCGTCTACGCATTATGCTTTTCAGCTCAATATTGTCAAACCTGGTGAGTGGCCCTTTAAGAGCTCGAAATTTTTTATTTTCAGGATTTCTTCAAATTCTTCAAGATGCAAATCTTGAAATAACAGCCAGGACTGCAGCTATTGTGGCTATGTGTTAGTTTTCTCAAGTGCATGAAGAATGCCGGATTTAGAAAGGGGATCTAGGAAGTAGTGAAAGTGTCACACGAGCAGCTATAGCAAACAATAATAAGGATGTGCACATTAGCGCTGATGTGTGCGCTATTTTGGCAGTCATAAAAAACAGCCTGCTCACTTCACAATAAGATGAGAGGCAGCACGTTTTGCAGAGTTACACAAGACCAGATCTAAAAAAGCAAGCTGCTAACCTTACTTCATACTGTCACGCGGTAGGAGCTCGAAGAAACGTACAAGGAGACGAGACTGTCAATATCTCACACACGAAGATGGACGTCTCCGCTGGCACGGGTTGGCTCACTGTTCACTGGCACAGAACACCAGGTGGCATTACTTCTCCTCCCAAGAGAGCATCGACCCGATGCTCAAACAAAAGTGTGCACAGCAGTGGGTCGAAGTAGGCAACATAAAAAAACATTAAACAAAGTAGCGCACGAGAGAAAATGCGTCCTAGGCCCGGCAATCGGAAATAAATGGCATTCACTGTTCACATGAAGAGCTCACTTGCACACGAAGAAAATTCGCATCACCGCGTAAAGTAAAGTTTTAGGGGGACGACGTGTATAGTCTCTGGGCGTGGTAACCTGCGCTGGGATGATGGTGAGCGTCAGTCTGTAACCACTTCCTAGTTCACGTCGCTCCCACGTCCGAGTACTTTGTCAGGTCCAAAGTACTTCCTCAAGAGTTTCTCACTGAGACTTCGCCGCCTAATGGGTGTCCAAACCCAAACTTAGTCACCAGGTTCATAAATAACTTCTCGATGATGGATGTTGTACCGCTGTGCATCTGCACACTGTTGAGTTCTGATGTGCACACGGGCCAATTGACGTGCTTCCTCAGCGCACTGAACGTACTAATTGATGTCGGGAGCTAATTGGTCGAGCTTGTCGATGTTCTCATATGGAATCACAGGGTCTAGCATAGTTCTGACATCTCGACCATAAACGAGCTGAAATGGCGTGAAGTGAAGCGTGTAGTTTTCTGCATTGCAGTGTTGTACGCAAATATTGCGTACGGCAGGATGTCGTCCCACGTATTGTGCTGCACATCCACGTACATAGAGATCATGTCGGCTAGCGTTTTGTTTAGCCTTTCTGTTAAACCATTACTCTAAGGGCAGTAGTAGTCTTTGATGGGTTGTGCAGTTGATGGGTTGTGTAAGTCAACCTGAAGATGTCATCCAAGAGCTTCGCTGTGAATGATGTCCCTTGATTAGTGATGACATATGACGGGGCGCCATACCATAGCACAATTTGATGCATAAGAAACTGGCAACTTCAGATGCAGTCCCTCGTGGCAATGCCTTCATCTCAGCGTAACGCGTCAAGTAATCGATTGCGACAATAATCCATTTGTTTCCAGAAGAAGACAAAGGAAACGGGCCTAGGGGGTCCATTCCCACTTGATCAAACGGTATACGTGGTGGATCGATCGGTTGTAGATGGCTTGCAGGCTTTAAGGGTGGTGTCTTGCGATGCTGGCATTGACGGCATCCCGTCATGTAGCGTTTGACACAGGCAGACATTTTAGGCCAGTAGCAGAGTTGTCGCACCCGATCCATAGTACTTGAGTAGCCCAGATGGCCGGGTGTTAGCTTGTCGTGGCAAGCTAATAAGACATCATCGCGAAGGGCTTCAGGCACGACGAGAAGGTGAGATCTGTCACCAGCAACGGTGTTCCTTTTGTATAAAATGCCATTTCGTAGGCAAAATGATGGTAACGTCCGCGACATCAGACGAGGAACGGACACGGTGCCACTTTCTAAGATCTATAATCAGTCTTAGATTGGCGTCATTTCGTTGAGACATCAGATCTGACCCGCTGAAAGTTGCCACGAAGGCTCCGTCCTCTTCTGTGCTTGTACAGGCGAAGTGAAGAGGTGCTCGTGATAGCGTGTCGGCATCTTCATGCTAATCGTTCTGAAGGGTCTCGTA